GGTTGCCTGTCATTCAGTAACAATCCTGCTATTGGGGTCTGTCCTGGGACGTAGAGAAAAGGGAATCCTGACCGATTAGCCTTGTCAAAACCTGACAGGCCAAAAAGGCCCTGCTGGCAGCAGTTGAGTGGGTCCCCTGAGAGGGAAAGGAGGTTGAGGGCAGGAGCTGGCAGTGCCCTGGTCGCACACGGGGACAAGATTCGTAGTGTGACCAGACCAGACACACCAGGGTGCCTTGGAGTGGAGAAGGAGGTCATTGGAGAGGGAGCTGAAGGCAGAATAGTAGAGCGGGGTGCAGGGAGAGGTGACGTTTTGAAGGGACATTGTGGGATTTTGAGAGAGCTGACCAGTGATGGCATCGTGGAGGCTGATGATAGTCGTTGTTGGACCCAGCTTGGGAGTGGAGCAGAGAATGTGACCTCGTGCCAAAGTCGCTGATGAATGGGGAGGTGTGACCCAGGAGGTTCGTAGATTTCCAAGGAAGGCTTTGTGGCTTTTCAGCCATGCTGCCCGGCTCAGGCCTCACTCCTTCCATCCTGCTCATTTATTGCCGCTAATTGCCCAGTTGGCAGTTGGGAAAGCAGTGCCTGGTAAGAAGTGGAGCAGTAATGGCACAGGTGTGCCCCGCCATATGCTCTCTTCCGTAACCCCCTCCCCCTGACAGGCTCTGGAGTACAGGCTCTAGAGAGCCGGCTCAGGAGCAGCCGGCTCTGGGCGTGACTCGTGACTGCACAGTAGCACTTCTTGGCTGTGACCGTAGGCAGGTGACTGCACCCCGCTGTACTTGGATTCCTCACCTGTGTCTCGGCTGTGCGTGAGAGTGCTCTTGCTTCTGTGGGGTGAGGACTGAGTGGGCAGCTGTCCCGCGTCAATGTCAACTCTTATGATGATGATGATTTGTGTTCCACTCATTTTCTTTCTGTCTTGGCTTTGCCTGGTTCCATTGATGGCACTAGAGATTTTGTACTGTTGCTGACACCTGTTTTATGATAAGAGCAAGACATTTGTTGGTCACCTGCTATGCCAGACATTGCCTTAGCTATTAATCTCACAATACCTTTGTCATGGGGTTGCCAAGAGAATTCCTGCACCCAAACGTGTACCCACAGTCTCTGGAGCACATGGGCCGCCTTTTAACATCCTGATTTTTTAGAATTGGAAATCCAGGTTCAGGGAGATTTAATAGCCCACCTGGCATCATTCAGCTAATAGATATCCATGCCAGGACTCAAACCTAGGAACGTCTGAATCGCAAACCTATTTCTTTTCTTCCCGCTACACCAGGCTGTGTCAAGCTATCTATGAGGCCCTCTGCCACCCTCCTTTTCCCTGGGCCTTCTGATTCTTTTTAATGGAAAAAGATTGTGTTACCAGATACATCCAACTGTTAGTGTGGACCATATGAAACTACTAATATTTGACCATAAAAATGGCACTTTCACGTGGTTCAGACTGGTACATCTCTCTACCCGCACAGCCTTCTCCCTGCTTCAGGCCCCCATATTGCTCGCCTGATTGGCCTTCCTGTTCCATGGTGACCACCCTCCTCTTTATCACCCAAACAGCAGCCAGAGTGATCTGTCAGAACAGAGGTCTGCTCAGGCTCTGCCTCGCTCCTCCCCAGCTGTCCTGTCACCTGGACCCCGGCTGGCCACGGGGGGAGGATTTTTAATTGTTTTTCTTTTAACAAAGACTGGTTAGGGAGTGCAGCAAGCCCTGATTCTTGTGGGAAGGACAGCGCGTGGCCATGGCTCCTGGCCCTTGTTTGGTACTAGGCGTCTCCTTCCTGTGCACCGCGGTGAGCCCTGCTCTTCACTTGCTGCCCTGTGGCACGTCCCTCTGGCCCCTGTTCACGCTCGTTCGCTCTGGTCCTGCTGCAGCTGGCCCGCAGAGGGGATTGGGAGACACCAGAGCCAAGTTGTGAAAGCCTCCCAAGGCCATGTGCTGCTCACAGCAGTACAGAAACCAGTGCTTTGTGGCAGTCACATTTTGGCTTAGTGATAGCAAGACTGACATTTATGTTGTTCTGCACTTAGAGTTTACAGAGTAATTCTGCATGCTTTTTGAGAGTCTAGGTAGCCAAGAGGATATGAACATGGGCTCTGGAGCCCAGTGTTCTAGCTTCAAGTTCCCCTCCACCTTTCTGGGTCCTTTATTTCCCCCCATCTGTAAAATGTAGCGGAGTTTGGCCTTGAACCCTGGCCGCCTGGCTCCTTAGTTGCTCATTGTTCTTTGGCTCAGCAACATCTAGCTTGTACAAAATTTAGATGCTTTGTCCTCACAGTGCTGATTGTAGTCCTTAAAAGTCACTTTTATGCTCTGCAGTTACTTTTTTTGCAGTCAGTAAAGTACTTTCATTCTGATTCTTTCCTATCCTTTAAAGCAAAGGTTGCAAGCTGGTAGCCCCTGGGTGAGGGTAGCCTGCAAACCAGTTTTATTTGAGCCATAAATTAAAAAAAAAAAAAAAAAGTTGAAGTTGCTTTGAATTGCGGTCAGAGCTTTCACTCTAAAGTCCGGATCAGAACAACTGGCACTTCTCAGCTCAGCATCTCCAGAGGTACCAGTCAGCTGAGGCCGAGGCCCTGCTGTGCCTTTTGCCCTGTTTGGTGGGGAGGGGGTCCCCCCTGCCCTTCGTGTCTTGTACCGACCCATCTCACTCCCTGAGGTTCCCTCCCCCGCCCCCCGGGCTTCGAGGTGTGTAACCCCTGCACTTGATTGTAATGCCCTGGGCGCCTCCGTAAGTAGCAGTCGTGGTGGCCGTTCCCGGGTTGGGGGGCTGGCGCCGCTGGCATTCCAGAGCGGGTTATTTTGAGCTTAGAGGCTAGCAGGCACTCCAGCAAAGGCCTCATTGTTTCAGGTACATTTACTCTCTGAGCTCAACTTGAACAAGGTGACCATGATTGGAAGGAAACCTTACATTTGTGTTTGGGCGACAGTGCCCCTCTGGCATGTCACACAGCCTCAGGCAGTTTTACCACCAAGCAGACCCCTTGACATTGTGGATGTAGATTTCTGAAAGCTGAAAGTTTAGCTACTAGCCTCCTGGGTTGGATTTCCTGGGCCACTCCCATGGCCTGGAGGCCTCAGCTTGGAGGAAGCTGGAGCTACTTCCTTAGTGGATTCTTGTCCAGGATGGGCAGGAACCGGGCCGCAGAGCTCTTGTAGCAAACTGTGTCCCAGGCCTTATGGTCTGGGAGCTGAATGCTTGCTATTAGTCACCTGGGTGTTTGGCTCCTGGTTTTTGAATGTAGTAAGAAGATTGAAAGACTGGCTTAAAGGTTAAAATTTGTCACCTCTTGTGAATCCAGGTATTCAGTTTTCATGTCCTAAAGTTCAGCCTACAATGGAGTTATCCAAGAAAAGGAAAGTTGTAACTTCCAGATCTGTGTTCTGGGGTTGCTCGGATAACTAATGCCTTATCCAAACCCCAGCTTTCATGAGATTGTGTAAAGAAGGCTGGTTGTTTGGTGGAGACTATCTGGATGCATGGCATTCAGGGTAGACCTGCTTCTCTGGCCTGTTTTGGTGATACACTGAGCCTAGCATGTAGGAATACATATGATTGAGTGGGATGGGGGATTCTGGGTATTTAGACAGGGTGTTCTGGGGTGCTTTAGTGGCACAAAACCTTGTACCTCTGGAAAGAAGACTGCTGTATTTTGCCATGTATAATGCGCAGTTTTTTTGCCCAAATTTTTGAGGGAAAAATAAGGACACGCATTATACATGGGTAGTACCTGAAATACCTTGTATCTGTTCTTGTGTTTTGTAATTATTTGTTACATAAAACTTCTTGTACTGTAGTATGTTAAAAAATAAATGATAAAATTCTTTTACAACACAAAAAACAAGTGTCTAAATATAAATGAATGAATGAATGAATTAAAAAAACTAAAATGAAAGATTTTTTTCCTGGAAGTTTGGGCCAAAAACGTAGGTGCACATTGTACATGGGAACACATTATATACGGCAAAATATGGTATCCCTTTGACATTGTGATTTCTGAATAATGACACTTTTGTTCCGTAAGTGTAACCCCCACGGTAAAGATTTTTAAGTTAATTTTAATTCACAAAAATTATATATGCCTTTGCACAACAGTATGAATGCACTTAATGCCCTGAACTGTGCACTGGAAAAATGGTTAAGATTGTCAATTTCATCTTATGAATATTTACCACAACTTTTAAAAATGCATTTGTTGTTTAAAAAAGGAAAGGATGTATGCTTATCATAGAAAATGTGAAAAAAAGGAAAGAAAAACCTCATCCCACTACTTAGACACCTTTCAATATTTTGTTTCCAATTTTCTGTGCATATTTTTACACAGTGAAGGTGTTGCTGTATCATCATGCTGTAGTGATAGCTGTCGTTAACGTTCATTTTGCAGAATAGGGGAGTAGCTAGAATGTGGACTGTGGAACCAAAATGCCTGGGTTCTGATTCCAATCCTCCAGTTCCTCACAGGTAACAGGAGGCAAGCTACCTACCTTTCTGTGCCTTGGTTTCCTCATCTAAACCAGTGATTCTCAACGAAGGCAGTTTTGCCCCAAGGACACTTGGCAATGTCTGAAGACATATTTGGTTTTCAAGATGGGGGGGGGGGCGGGATGCTGCTGGCGTGGAATGGGCAGAGGTGAGAGATGCTGCAAAACATCCTACAGTGCACAGGACAGCCCCACAGTGAATTATCTGTCCCCCAGCTCAGGAGTGCTGAGGTTGAGAAATCTTCTCCAAGTAAGATGGAGATAATAGTACGTACTTCATAGGACTGTTATGAGGGTCAAATAAGTTAAAATATGTAAAGTGCTTAGAACAATGCCTGGCACATAGTAACTGCTATGTGTTAGTGATTGTTGTAATCATTCTCCATCACTTCATATCACTATTTCTGTTCTTTAAACATTCTTTTAAATAGTTCTTGAATATCTTCTAGTAAAGTTTCTTTTTATATAAACAATTGCGTACTCCTAACAAGCCTTTCTTTCTTCCTCACCAGATGAAATTAAAGCAGAAATAGAAAAGCAGAGGTAAGCTGGGGCACTTTTCTCCTTGCTGAAACACAGAATTAAGGGAGTAGGTAGTGGCTGAGGGAACCCCTTTCTCTGCATGTTTTCTCATGTGTCTGGTCTTTGGGCAGCCTACACTCTCCCGTCCCACAGCTGGGCACATCGCAGAACTTGTTATATGTTTGAACCGATGCTAAGTTAACAGGTTACTGGCTCGGTAACCGTATTTGGAGGAAAGAGTAAGGAAGGCCAAGTTAATGCTGTTGTACCTTTTCTTGTTAGAAGAGGCAGAGCCCTTGCCTCTTGTATGTCATGCTTCCTTAAGCAGGACGACAGTTTGCCCTACAAGAAGGCTGTTCCTTATCTTCATAGTAACGAAGCCAGTCAGTCACATTTCAGACACAGAGCTCTGGTGTGGCTGATGCCAAGATTCAGTGCAGGATGCAATCGCTACAACTTGCTGATCCGAGACCTCACTCTCTGCATGTGGCCACGTTGGTATTTTGTCCAAGTGCATATATGTGTTAACTTCAAATTGTTTAGCCCCACAGGTGCAGTTTGCAGGCATTTTTTAATTAAATGATTGCAGGTGGGATGGGCAGTTAAAATGTACTATGGGAAAAGCAAACTTTTTAAAAAAAATTTTCCCTCTCTGGCCCTCTCCTGCTTTTTTCCCTAGGCTTGGCACCGCTGCACCACCAAAGGCAAACTTCATTGAAGCTGACAAGTATTTCCTTCCATTTGAGCTAGCTTGCCAGTCCAAGTCCCCACGGGTGGTCAGCACGTCCCTCGACTGCTTGCAGGTACTGTGTTTAAACTTAATTGTGTAAAGGGGGTTCTCTTCAGGCCCTGCTGGTGACCCCTCTGCTATTCAGAACGCTCTCTGGGATGACAGAAAAAGAGCATTCCAACTTATTCTTTTTCTTTTTTTTTTTTAATTTGAGAGGAAGGGGGAGAGAGAAAGGGGAGATAGAGTGAAAAAGAAACAGACATTGATTTGTTGTTCCATTTATTTATGCATTCATTGGTTGATTGTTGTATGTGTCTTGGCTGGGTATTGAACGCTCAACCTTGGTGTATTGGGACAGTACTCGAACCAATCCCAGCCAGGGTCACATTCCAAGTAATTTTTTTACAGAGATCTCATGAGGGAGAGAAGTGAGAGGGGACTGACTTCCTTACCTAACAAAAGCATTCGCCCGTCCTGGGTACTCAGTTGGTCAGAGTGTCATTCCAATACACCGAAATTGTGGGTTCGATCCCAGTCAGGGCACATGCAAAAATCAACCGTGAATGCATAAATAAGTAAAACAACAAATCATGTCTCTCTCTCTCTCTCTCTCTCTCTCTCCCCTCTCCCTCCCTCCCTCCCTCTCTTCCTCTCTCTCTCTCTCTCTCTCAAAATCAGTAAAATTTTTAAAAAATTTTAAAAAGAATTTGTGTCCCTGGAAATACCGTTTGGTTGATCTCTCTTATGTATCTTTTTCTAGATTATTTACTGCACCTGGGTACATAAGGTATTTTTATTCAGCCTCTTCCTTGATGACATTAAAATTCATAAAATCAAGTAGAGAAATGGATATAATCAAACCTAATTTTTGGAGTGATATTCTATAAAGTTGTTGTGGATGCTGATTTAGCGAATTCTGAACTGTTGTTTCTAAAGGAAATAGAGGGTTAGATTCTCTTGAGCCTCTAGCCTCACTGTGTTCATCAGCTGATCAATATGCAACTGTTCTTTGTGCGTTTTGTTTAAAGACACCGTTTTTAATATATATTATTGATTCATTAACAGTGAACTCACAGCCCACAACACTATGCCATATGCCTGAATCAAACTTACCTAACACACATAATTTCTTCATAAAGCACGTTGCTGTCTTCTTGCTCTTAGGAACACCAGACAGGACTTGAGCACTACGGTTAACAACTATTTTAAATGGCAAAATTTTGTCTTATTTTAAAAAGACAGAAATGGGAAGAACATAACACTAAATGGATCACAAAAAAAGACACTGCTTAACAGTATGAGGGTGAATCAAGAAGGCAAAATGTCTCCTTGCTTGACCTCAGCTGGGAACCTGTGCATCAAGCGATTCAAATTTTTCACTGCTCTGTATGTCTGCAGATGACGACAGAAGCACCATGAGTATTGAATAGGGGCTTACAGATAAATTTTAGTGAGTGCATTTACGCACACAGAATCGACAAATAGTGAGGAGCAACTCTACTTAGACCACCAGTAACCTATAAATCACCTTTTACTGATGAAGAAGCGCAAGAAGAGAAGTTAGGGTGACTTGTCAAATGACATACTGGTAGCAAGAGACAGAAATAGTGCTGCAACTTGGACTTCTTAAGTCCTGGTCCAGCATCCCTGTATTTTTTTTTTTCCATTTTAAAATTGTATAGGTTTCAGCCTTGGGTGGCTCAGTTGGTTGAAGCCTAGTCCTGTGCACCAAAAGGGTGCAGGTTTGATTCCCAGTCAGGGCACATACCTGGATTGCAGGTTCAATCCCTGGTTGAGGCATATGCGGGAGGCAGCCAATTGATGTTTCTCTCTCTCTCTCTCCCCTGCCCCCTTCCTCCTCTCTTTCCTTCCCTCTCCATCCCTCCCTTCCTCTTAAAAAAAATTATATAGGTTTCAGGTGCCACAGTTCTATAATACACCATCGGTATATTGTATTGTGTGTTTAGCATCTTGGGTTTGGTGTTTTTGGTTTTTTTTTGTGATCTACTCCTGAGGTTTCTGGTTACTTCAAAGAACAGTTATTCCTAATCGTAGTGGGCAGCCTACATTACTGAAAAAAAGCTTGATACATTTGTTTTAAATTGATTAAAGAGATCCACAATTTACTGGTACTTTGTAGAACAGGAATGCTGAATAGGTTCTGTATGGTGGTTGTTTAGAAGCTATGTTGGAAAGATCCATGAAGCCTCATCTGGGTTTCTTAAGAAAGTGCCATGATTGATGGATTATGTCTGCTGAGGCGCAGGACTGCCAAGTGGTGGTGGGCATGCCACAGTTTTGGCATCTCTAGTCGAATATTAATAATCTCTTGTCTCTGATATATCTATACTTGAAAATTGATGACTGTTTCTTCACAGAAGCAGCTCTTCCAAATGAAAAGTCATTTGCTCATTCAATATAAGTCTGTACGGATTGTCCTATGTATATGACAAGCCAAGAATTCTTAAACGGCAGGCTCAAGTCTTACTTCTATCTCAAAGTATTTGTTCTTGTGGAACATTTTCTGAAGAAATTTGGCATATGTTCAGTTTTAGTTGTTTTCTCCTCTTATTAAGGTTTAGCTTTGAAGCTGGTGCCTATAGTTGATGTTATTGACATGCTAAGTACAGTGGCTAACATGTATGGAGAGCGCAGCCTGTGCTGGTCCCTGTGTGAGGTGCTTCCTTATCCTCATCAGCCTTACAAACCCTCTGATGTACTTACTCTCATCTTCATTTTAGAATTGAGGGAACTGAGGCTTAGAGAATAAAATGACCAGCCCCACCAAGTTCCTCTGGCCCAGAAGTGACGAAATTGGATGGGTTTCTAGGATTTCCCTACCCCACGTCTATGTCCTTAACCAGGGAACTTAAACGGTAGTCATCAGCCAAATCTGGCCTGTCACATGCTTTAGTAAATAAAGTTTTATTGAAACACAGCTGTCTTAATCGGCTTGGGCTGATAGAACAAATACCACAGACTGGGTGGCTTACAAGAGACATTTATTTGCCAAAGTTCTGGAGGCTCGAGAGTGCAAGGTCAAGGTGCCAGCTGATTCAGTTCCTTGAGAGAGCCCTCTCCCTGTTTTGTGGATAGTCGAATTCTTGTTGTGTCCTCACGTGGCAGAGAGAGCGCACTAGCTCTTTTTTTTAATCCTCACCTGAGGGCTTTTCTTTTTCATTGCTTTCAGTGAGAGAGGAAGGGAGAGAGATCAACATCAATGTGAGAAACATGGATTGGTTGCCTCCTGCACCTGCCCGGAACAGGGTTTATAATCACCCCGGACTGGGGATTGAACCATAACCTAGGTATGGGCCCTGATCAGAAATCAAACCCACAGCCTTTCAGGGATGGGACGATGCTCCAGCCAGCTGAGCCACACCAGCCAGAGCTGTGATGTGTCTTCTTATAGGCCACTGATCCCATCCCAAGGACCCCACTCTCATGACCTCATCCAAACCTAATTACCCCCACAGGCCCCACCTCCAAACACCATCCCATTGGGGTTGGGGCTTCAACGTAAGAACTGTGGGGAGCACAAACGTTGCGGCCAAGGCAACAGCCACACCCATGTGTTTCTGTGTTATCTGCGGCTGCTTTCCCGCCACTGGCTGGTTGAGGAGGTGGGATGGAGACCATGTGACCTGCAAAGCCTAAATATTTAGTATGCAGTCCTTTACAGAAAAAGGTTGCCAACCACTCTTAACTATGATCCTGTAGTTCTGGCCTCTTGAATTAAAAACATGCTCCGTTTTCCTAGAAATAGCCTGTTTCTGGAACTCTGTAGGTGTGTGATTTCTCATGGAAACATTGATGTCCTGCTTTGACTGGGGTTTAAAATTTCAGAATGTAGTGCCTGTCTTGAGGTTTATGACATGGTTAGCTGTTTTTTAAAGAATGGAAGTTCTCTGTAATTTAGTAGGTACTCCTGTGTCGTCCCTTTTGTGACATAGAAAGTGGCTGGGTGCTCCACAGAATACTGAATGAAAATTTCATTTCCTCTTGGTGGTTGTCTTCACAAAGCCTGTTTGACTGGCTCTTCCCAGTGTGGGTGAGGCAACTTCTGTCCTGGAAATGGAAGGCGGGTGCCAAGGGGTAAAGGTGGATGTTGGCAGAACGGAGCCAGCTGCAGACACATCTGCATTCTGCCCTGGGCATTTAAAGGTGCAGTCTTTGAGCTTGGAGAGGTGATGGGGTGGTAAGGGTCTTCGGGGTGTGCGGAGCAGTCAGCCCAGAGTTCTGTCTCCCCGTTGGGAGAAGCCTTCCTCCCTGCTCACTTCTACCAAATGATAAAGACCCTCTGAATTCCTTTCCTCCGGCAGCTGGCCTGCCACGCGCCTGCCAAGGCCCGGGCTGGGGGACGGGTGTTAGGGCTCAGTCTTGTTTAAGCTAAGGCGTGATCTCCGGGTTTCCCCGGGCACCTACTGTAACAGAATGTTTCAGAGACTATATTCCTAATGTATTCATATTTTTTCAGCTGTAAGATTTTAAGTATGTACTACTGTTATTAAATTACATGTGTTATAAAACATATAAAAATAGAACTTTTAAAAGAATATGACAAAGTGCAGGTATAAATAAAGTTCTCATATTTTCTTTATATACCTTGGTGAGGGCTGCTGCAGGGAGCCGCTGGTCTAAGCTGCCCTCTTCGTACCATCAGCATTGTCTTTTAATGCTCATTCCTAGAAAGCTCTGGACTTTTGAACGCACACTTACAATTATATAAGTTATACATGACTACAGCCTTTGTTAAAATAGTTTTAGAACTTTATAGATAAGGCTGAGATCCCTTGGGCCACTAGCCCCAAACCCAGTTGCCTGTTTAGGTGTATAATTTTCTTTTCTCTCTCTCTCTCTTTTTTTTTTTTAATATAAATGGTATCATTTGTACAATTTTTTCTGCAGCTTTTTATATTCAGCAGTGCCTTTTTAATATCTAGTTATATTGCTGTAAGTAAAAACAGGTCAACCCTTTTGGCTAATATATAATATATTAATGCCACCACTATATCCCTTCCCCTATAGGGGGTGTTAACAAATAGGGTTACAATGTACATCCCTGTGCGTGCAGCCTCCTCGGACACTGGTATCAACAGTGAGCCAGCTGGTCAAAGGCCACCCTCCTTTGCCCCCTCTTCCCGTTCCCTCACTGCATCAAGGACTAAGGCAGGAACTTCTCTTCATCTCTATCATCGCCTCCCGCCCCCCGCCGCCCAAAGTCCAGGCCACCAGCATCTCCCTCCTGGACAACTGAGGGGGCCTCCTCCCTGTTTCCCTCCCTCCACTCCTGTTGCCCGCCCTCGGTCCTCTTCTCCATACAGGAACCAGGATGGGGAGTGGGAAGACTTTAGAAATGTGTCACATCGTGTTAATCCTTTGCTTAAACCTGCTAGTAGCTTCCCACCTCACTCACTGTGCAAAGCACTTCCCCCCCAGGGAGCTTGCCAAGCTCGCTCGGGTCATTGGACCTCAGATATGTTTCCAGGCTTTCTCCAGAAGTACAAAAATACTTGTAGACACACACATTCTTATTTTTCAAAATGAAAAATAAAGCTACACATTATCACTGCAGCTTGCTTTTTTCAAGATTTCCACAAATCACACAGGATCCTGTGGGTCCCATTTGGGACTTGGACTTTGATCTGTCCCTACCCCTACCTACCCCAGAAAATAGAAACCCCATGAGAAAAAGGACCGTCTTACTTACTGTTGTATCCCCAGTACCCAGAACAGTGTCTAGCATAAAGAAAGGTGAGAAGGCAGAACTAGAAAGACCCGCAGGACGCAGGAACTCTGCTCTTTTCTGGCTCCGTCTCTGCACAGATAAGGGAGTAAAATCATATTTAAAACCTGTTTCAATTCGAAGGGTCATGTGCCCTTTAAAGAGTCTGTAGAGGGGAAAATACTTCCAGTCTTTTTTTGTATTTGAATTAAACATCCAGGAATTCACTTCTGTGCTTTGCAGCATCAGTGTTGGGGTCTGTGGGGCCTACTTTTACTCATTTAAAAAAAATTTTTTTTTAATTTTTTTACTGTTTATTTATTGAGAGAAACTATGTCTTAGCCCAGATATTCATGTTTCACAATTCAGGAACACAGGTCAGTGACAAACTTTCATGGAACTCAACCCAAAGAAATTCCTTACATTCCAAAAGCACTTTGCACTCTGAGGGACACCAGTTTTCCTCATCTCCTCAAAATCTTTCATGGAATTATAATTTTTGTAGAAATCTGCATATGCCTACTTTCTTAGTTCAGCTACAGCAGACTTCCAGAAAACTGCAGCCCCAGGGATACGATGAACACTCAAGCAACATGAAATCGCAGGCGCTGGGCCGAGGTTTTGTCAGAGCCCTGGAAGGCACTGTGATTATATTCTGAGCAGCCACGTCCTTCCTGGTTGGGCTTACTTTTCAACAGTCACATGTTAGCGGTTCATAGACCATTCCACCCATAACCCAGTGTTCAAAAACGGCCTTGAGTCCATTAGGAGTAAGGAGTGGGAATGTCCAAAACCGGAGCCCACTTAGAGGTAGGCAGCATTGCCCCCTTGGGACGCCTGCAGGCACAGCAGCAGGGAGAGGGGATGGGGTACGAGGGCGCCTTGACTTGTTCTTTGAAAGCACCCTGTGGTTTCCCGCCACGCCCCTGGCCCGGCCGGCTGGGGACCACTGGGGTCGGACTTCAGCAGCAGCGTGTGTGCAGGCCTTTCTCCTGCTCACTCTCCTAATCTGTTTTATTTTGCACGGCACTTTCAGAGCTAATGGCGGCGGAGAGCCGTTGGGAACTGGCGTCAGGCCTCTGCAGGGGCGGACCTTCCTATGGCAGTGGCGGCTACACTGTAGATCGCCTCAGGCGCCTGTGTCACTGTGCGGGTAGAGACAAAAATGGGACAAGCCAGAAACCATCATGGATAAGGAACAGAGCAGCATTTTAAGAGTCTTTACTAAGTCCCTACAAGCAGACGAAGCTTTAGAAGTCATGTGTCCCAGAGGGGCTGTGTCAGTGAGTAGGCCATTCATCTTGTCGGCCTTGGGTAGCTTGGAGCAGAACTCTGATTCCTGGGCGCCACCCCAGCAGCTGTGGTTTGTGGGTCTGGGGTGAGGTCCAGGGGCCTGTATTTTTAATGAGCTCTCTCAGGTGCTTCTGAATCTCCAGCAGGCTTGGGTATCGCCCTGCTCCTGACCTTTGCGTTCCCTCCCTGCTCTGATTATGGTACAGTGCAGGTCATCAGTGAGGTGACAGGCAGGCTGCCTCTGAACGGTGGCCCCTGGCCAAGCTGATCTGTCACCTGATTGTGAGGGCATGGCCCAAGCAGCCACTCGTCTCTTCAGGGTAACAGGCACTGTTTGATAATGTAGGTGTGGGGTTCAGTGTTTTTACTTTAATTTTTGGAATAGAAAAAAATACTGATGTGATTCAACATGCAGAAAGAATGAAAGAATGTACTTACTACAAAGTGTCTTAGTACCACCCCAGCTACAGCTGTTTAGTTCCTTCTCAAGCAAAAATGTTACTAGTTTTTTAATGTAAGTTTCTGTTTATATATATATATGGTTTTTTAATACCTTGAGACATAATTCATATATATATGATTCACCTATTTAAAGTGTACAATTCGTTATTTTTTTTATATTGATAGAGTGGTGTGACCATCACTACAGCCTAATTTTAGACCATATTTATCACCTCAGAAAGAAGCCCCATTTCCCCCCAGCTTCCCCGCAGTTTCAAGGAACCACCGACCACTTCCACCTCTGTCACGGGTCGTTTTAATCCCTCAGTGTTTTGCACGAGTGGTTGTGTACTGGGGACCGTCCTGCACGTGCCTCTTCCGTCAGGTGCTGCCTCGCCATTGCGAGGCTCTCCTGCTGGGGGGGACAGAACCGACACGGTGGCTCACCGTGCCCACCATGGCGGCTGTGCCCACCATGCCCCTGGGGAGCAGGGGGATCTGTGGGCACTGGATTGTGGGCACTGGATTGCCACAGGCCATGCTTGTCATTTGCTGCGGGGGGGCGGCTTCAGTCCCTGCCAGAGAGAAACATCTCTCTGTCCTTTCTCTGTTTAGAAACTCATCGCATATGGGCACATCACTGGCAACGCCCCAGACAGTGGAGCTCCAGGGAAGCGGCTGATTGACAGGATCGTTGAAACCATTTGCAATTGTTTTCAGGGCCCTCAGACTGATGAAGGAGTCCAGTTACAAATAATTAAGGTATTTCTGTGTGTTTGCCTGGTCTGGATTTTAAATTAGAAACTAGTCCCTTTTGGGAATTTGGGTTTTCTGATTTACCACGTGTTAGTTGTCTCAGATGGTGCTGAGCTTGAACAGAAAAATATAAGCATCACTTAGATCTTTTATAAAGTGTCAGAATTTATTAGTGTGAACTGAGACAAGAAGAGTGGAACCAGGTGTGTTTTCAGAGTAAACAGTTCCACTAATAACAATGTAAATTGCTTATGATTTAAATCGGCTTGAAGTCCTCTGGTCCTGTCCCTTGAATTTCTGGATTCCCAGTCTGCCATTTCTCAGCAGGTTCCCATTGATGCTCTTATCACTAGTTTGCCCTTGTCTTGCTGTCCTCCCGTTCCATTTCCCTGTCCCCTGCCGCCTGCCAGGGATGGTTTGGCACGGGGCTTGTTGGAGAACAGGATCGGGATGGGTAATGCTGCGTCCCAAGCCCTGACTGTGTTAGCTTTGTGAGGGATGGCTCCGTGTGAGCCGCACCTCTCCTAGAGCTCCCTTGAAACCCCACCTGGGAACTGGGAAAGTGACCCCCAATCAAAACATGTACATTTTGTGGTTACTCTAGGTGACATCACGTTGGAGCCTTTTCCCTCCTAAGAGAAGTGTCTATATATTTTTTGCTTTTTAAAAAAGTAAGCCGGTAGAAAGCCCTCTTCAACACAATTACTTCAAATAATTTGGACGTTATGGAATTAATGATAGTTTTTAAACTCAGAGCAGGCTGAGTTTAACTAAACTAATCATCCAGTTTAGTTTGCAGAGCCGTTATTTTTAAAATTTGTCAAACCAAGCAAAAACAACACCAGACCTTGTGGAAGAGTTTGGCTCTGGGAGATTTGAAGCGAGGCGGGTGTTGGTGAAGGAGATTTCGGATTTTTGTTTCAGGCTCTTCTGACTGCAGTGACATCCCCGCATATTGAAATTCATGAGGGCACTATCCTACAGACGGTTAGGACGTGTTACAACATCTATTTGGCCAGCAAAAATCTCATCAATCAAACCACTGCCAAGGCCACCCTCACTCAGATGCTGAATGTCATTTTCACCCGCATGGAAAACCAAGTGGTGAGTGATAGCAGTCATTAGCTGCCGGGGCGGGACATCATCCCCCCGCTGTGAACGTTTGCGGGTGGCCTCAGGGCCTGGCGAAGAGCCACTAGCATTTTAAAGTTTATCCCTTCTTCCTCTGAATTCTCTACACTCTGTATTTGTTCTTGCTTTAAAAAGCAAGGGAGAGGATCTCTAGCACATGTTTTAAAATTTGCATTCACAATTTTTTTGAGTTTGTCAAAGGAATTTATTTCCTTTTTAGAATTTATCCTTCTCTTTGGAAATTTTTTTAAACACAGGCTGGAGTGTTTTCTGTTCCTTTCAAAATTCTGGAACCATTTAGATCGAATCCCCTTTTTGTCGCCTTCTAGTTGCAGGAGGCCAGAGAATTGGAAAAAACAGCCCAGTCAAAACCCCAGTCCCCTGTGATCCAAGCTGCAGCAGGGTCCCCAAAGTTCAGTCATTTGAAGCAGAGCCAGGCACAAAGCAAACCAACAACTCCGGAAAAGACAGATTTAATCAACAGTGAACATACCAGGAGTCATTCTGGAAAAATGAGCTCAGAGGACGGAGACGCACCCAGAGAGAGAGGCTCATCGCTCTCAGGTAGGCCCTGGTGCCGGTCCTTCCCAGTGGGAGGGGGCGGGAGCCTGATCCGGTCTGCAGAAGCCGGTGGTAGCCGCTCTTCTGTTTCTGGGCCTTCCCCCTGACTTCCCCTTCGCCTTCACAGCCAGCACAGCCAGCACAGCAAGATGGCTAATGCCCCATTGCCGGCTGTGCGGCTTTCTCCCTGCCGTGCCTGGAATGTGTCCAACCACTGCTTCCTGACACCTTCAGTGCGGTGGGTTCCATTTGGCGCACTTACCTCCCAGCAGTCAGTTATTTGGGTGGTTGGTCATTCAGTGTCTGTCTTACCCTCCCAGAGGACAGCAGGGCCACACCTGTCACGTGTACACAGGATCTCCACGCCTTTCCCCTGCTAGGCAGTTCGAAGTTACTCAGACATCTGAGGGGAGCGAGAAGGTGCACAGTGAACGCAAGGAAAGGACAAAAAGAGAAAATTGTCACCAAGAATTGCGTGTATCTCAGGGTAGCACAGAGGTGCCGGCTGCTCAGTCCTTCTCCCGTGTGTCTCAGAAACTCCAGGCCCACCCTCCATCTGCCCTCATCACTTGCCTTCTTCCCTCTTAGGGCAAGGACCAGATTTACTGTAACGCTCATCAGGCTGCAGTCAGTCAATAAATATGAATATTTAAACAGTGTAGTAAGCGTAGCTGTGCAGATGTAAGAGCATGTTTCTCTCAACTGCATGGAAGTACTTCCACTATGGCCCACTTTCTGCACAGCAGCCACAGTGATCTCTTAAGAGCAAGTTTTAGAGCACGACCCTCCTCAGCTTAAAAACCTGTAATTTCCCATTCTGTCCCGTTCAGAGTGAGATCTGTGTCTGCCCTGCTCCCTTGGCTTCCGTGGCCCTGTGGGACCTGGCCCTTGTCTAACCCCTCTTTTTCCTTCTTATACCACTTTCCTCATCGTTTGCTGCATGGTTTGCAATTGGTATTTCTGATTCTTGAAAGTGTCATTTGCTTTTAATGCCTTTGTACTTCCTGTCCCTTCCCTGACCCCTTTATCTTCAGATCTGTCAGTTCAAACAGATCACCCTCTCTGAAGCTCTGTCACATTTGTCCCCTCTCTACTGTCACTTTCTCTACTTGGTGTTAAGAGTTAGTGTTTACTTGTGCTCGGTCTGAGACCTAGGCTGCCCTGTTTACAGCTGTATTTCCAATACCTGGCATGGTGCCCAACACACATAGCAGACAGTAAATACAATGTTTTGAATAAACAGCAGGGAGGGGCTTGATTTCTAGAATACAGTTGTGCAGAAGCACAGTAAGTGAAAACTGTGAGAATGATTTGCAGTGTGTTGCTGTGGATTTTGTTGCCAGTACCTGGTACACCCCTGGGGCTTCTCACAAGAACATGGGAATCAGATTGCCTGCGAGATCACACCGCACACTTGCAACTAGGTCAAAACGGAGGTGTGCCGTCAGCCTTGCAGAGCCAGTGGCTTCAGTTCTCACGGTGTGGCTCTGAAGAACGCATCCTTCAGAAGGGGATTGAGAAGCCTCGGGAGCAAGGAGGAGGGACAAGCCTGAGAGGCAGGTGGCGGCGGCAGTGCCCTGCGCTGGTGTCCGGGCTGAGAGGCCCAGGCTCTGGTGCCTCAGGGTCAGGGGCCACACGTCCAGCTCTCCTCTGCTTGCTTGCTTCCTGCGGGCAGCACTGTCACAGAGCCCCCTCGCTAGCCGGTCGCTGTGCCAGGCACCGCGCTCACTAGTGGGCCCCCCGTGTACGCTGTCTGTTTAATCTGGGGCCCGCCCCATGGCCTTCCTGGGGTCATTTGCCTCTCAGTGAACACAGTTCACCGACAGACCTGAGCATCTCTTTCCCTTTTGCAATTTTTCATCCCAAGTTGATAAATCAAAAGTCAATTTGTCAGTCTCATTAGCCTGTCCAAGAAGTGGATCAAATGGCTCTTTGTAAACTCAGAAAATGAGATTTTTTTTTTTTAGCGTAAGACATGCTTGCTTACGTGAATTTTGGGGCACAGCTGACAGCCTTCCCTGGGGAACCTCGCCCCCTTTGTCCATTCATACCTCTCCTGATTGCCCCGCTAGTCTCGTCAGCTTTTTAAAAAGACAACTTGTTTGAGAAAAGCATTTATCATAAATTCGCCCATTTAAAACGTACAATCAAAATCTTTTTAGTATGTTCACAGAGTTGTGCAATGTTCACCACAGTTAACTTTGGAATATGTTATTACAGCCATTAGCAATCACTTCCCATTTTCTTTTAGGTTCATTTTTAAAATTCTGACTTTTTAACTCCCAGCATTAGACAGTAGCATTTATATAGCTAATATGTAGCTATTGTAGGTACACAGTTATGTATGTACTTACCGATTTGTTAGTTCACTTTTTAAATAACCCACTTTTAAGTACTGTAAAACAGAGAAAGTTTATCCTCCCTCAGCCAATATGAAGGTTCTGATCAGACGGCCTAGGTTCAGATTATGACTCCACTACTTAGTAGCCCTGAGCCTCAGTTTCCTCATCTGTAAAATGAGACTGCAACTAGTAGTACCTGTCTTACAGGTTTGTGAGGATTCAGTGAGAGAAATGTGTGGGGCTCAGGGCTATGTAAGTATTTGCTATTATCTTTGAAATAAGTTTCTGCTTAAACAACTAGTAAGTGTAAAGAAAAATAGCAGACGGGGATCTGATGCGAAGGTGATGGGAACAGTACAGTGGGAGAAAGTGAGCCTGCCTTCCATGTTGAATGAATGAGTAGTGGTGGTGGGGTGAGCGCTCCGTGGAAGGGAAACCTTTCGTGCTGTTCTCCAGGACCCTGTGGGTCAAGCATGGAATGCATAGGTAGCAGCTCATTTGAAAATCCTCTTGAAGGAAGGATTGAAAGGGTTACTTTGGTTCTGCTTATTTACCACGACGGCCTCTTTGGCCACTGTGATTTTTGTGTGTGCTTCTGAAAGTGCAGTTGAGGGCTGTGTAGTTGCTCTCCCAGAACTAGTTTTCCACAAAAACAGATGGGCCAACCGCTACCACATAAACAGTTAACATTTTGGAGAAAAATTCCATTTAAAATGTAGTGAATCCCCCACTATCACATAGAAACCTCATGCCAAGTTCTAGGTTTGCAGAGTGGGGAAGCGAGGCAGCAGAAGACAGTCACTCACTGCGGCTCCTTGTTCCTGCGGTGAAGGCGCGAGAGCGAGAGAGGGCGACATCTCTTTCAGCCTGCCTGAACGCAGCTGGGCAAAACCCAGCCCCTGCCTCCAGCTGGGGGGTGGGGATCAGAGACTTAGAGCAGCTGTGACTCAGGGAGGAGAGTGTTGGTCAGAGGGGTGTTAGTGTTCCACAGAGGGAAACTCGAAATCACAGCGGACGTTGCCTGGGAGGTGCCGGGTTTCGTGGGATTGTCTTCTGTTGGCACAGTCCTGTCTGGCCTCGGCGGGTACTTGTGTGTGCCCTTTGCTTTCTGAAATGTGGCCCTAGAGAACATGGACAGACTCTTCTCCCCCCTCCTGTTTTCTCTGGAAATGCCCACATGTGTTTGTGTTTATGTGTGTAGGGGCTGATGATGGAGCCCAGGAGGTGGTGAAGGAGATCTTAGAAGATGTGGTCACCTCTGCTGTTAAAGGTAAGAACCAAGAACCCAGCCTTTCCTTCCGCCTCATTCCTCCAAAAAAGTCCTTAGCCAGGCATTGTAGTGCTAGAGGGCCCACTGCCAGTGAGCCCGGGGAAGCTGAGTCTACCCGTGGCTGCTCATCTTTCATATGGAATTCAAAAACTACTTGTTTTTAGGCGTTGATTTTATTCTCATTTGAGCTGGGTTCAAGAAGCACAGTCTGCCCTGACCAGTGTGGCTCAGTAGGTTGGACGTCGTTCCACAAAGTGAAAGGTCACGTGTTGGATTTCCCGGCAGGGCACACGCCCAGGCTGCAGGTTCAGTTCCCGGTTGGGGAGTGAGCAGGAGGCCGCTGATTGATGTTTCTTTCTCACATTGATGTTTCTCTCCCACTCTCTCCCTCCTTTCCCCTCTCTCTGAAAATTAATAAATAAAATCTTAAAAAAAAACAAAACAAACAGCCGCACAGTCTGGCGATGTTAGGGTTGGGAGCTCCACATGGAGACACGGAGGGCCTCTCCCACGTCCATCCAGTCCTCCCCGGAGCGGGCTGAGCCCGAGGCCGGGTCCATCGCTGCTGAACTCGCATGGCGGGCCGTTGGTGTGTCGAGCAAGCAGTCCCTATGTCAGCAGGCATCAGAGGCACATGGAAGCTTGTTCTTTTCTGTTAGATTTCATTCATACGTCCTCAGTTTTATGGTGTGGTTTCCATGGAATTAGACTTGTATAGCTCAGAATAAATATTGAATGATTTTTTTCTTTGTTTTTGCCAAAAATCTCAGGTCAATGGCTATATGTTGAACACTCAGTTCCAGTGCCAATAGACCATTAGTGGGGTAAGAAATCAGTTTAGTTGGTTGTAATCAACATTTTATAAATGAAAGAAAATAAAATGAAAATAGGATACCAACTGAATGCATCCCATGTGGCTTGTTAAGGATTGTTTTATGAAACATGCATTTCAATTATTTATGTGCACATGTGTACTAGATCATGACTTTTTTTTTTAAGTGTTTGTTTGTTTTAGAGATGAGGGGGGAGGGAGAAAGAGAGGGAGAGAAATACCAATGTGTGAGAGATACAGCGATAGGTTGCCTCTCTGGCATGCCCCCAGCTGAGTATCTGGCATGCAATCCAGGCTTGTGCCCTGACTGGGAATCGAACCAGCGACCTGTCAGTTCACAGTCTGGCACTCCATCCACTGAGCCACACAGCCGGGGCTAGGTCATGACTTTTAAAATGTATTTCTTACTGAAGGTCATAGTCAAAGAAATTGAACATACTGCTGTAAGCCCTATGATTTTGTTAATTTAGGGTACCACCAAGGTATATACATAGATTTCATTATTTAGCTCCTTTTAGAAATGTCTTTAAAATGGAATAATTTTTATTTCACATCCTTAGATTTTTTTTTCTGGGGCCAATACAAGTCCTCACATAATGAACACCTGTCTGTGGTGTTCACTGCATATCCCCCAGTCCCTAGCACAGAGCTTGACAAATAATAGGAACTTGATAAACCATTTGTTGAATGAATATATACTTTGTAAAATCATTATTGAAGGTCGTGCTTATTAAGTTGTTTGATGTTCCTGCTGTATTTAAAGATCCACATGGTAAATTCCTCATTCAGATGTTCAGCTGTTCTGCTAATCATCAGATATGCTTTCTTTCATTAAATGATGAAATCTATTCAATTCTTTGCCTTTCCGTTTTTCACATGGCTGCCAGGAAGCTCAGATCTACATTTTTTCCTGTGACTGAGGTTTTCTTTCATAACTATCAAATCCTTTTATTTATGTGGCCCTTATTCCCTAGTATTAATAACTCTTTTTTTTTTTTTTTTAAAATCTGCCCTTTTCATGTTAACAGCTTCTAATATTCTTCAAAAGGGGGCAGGGTGGGCAGGGCTCCTGCCTCGCACAATCCTGGAACCGTGGCCTACCATGTGAACCAGGCCCCTGCAGTGGTGCTGTGGCTGCTGGGCACATGGAGACCCTACACACCACTTTGGCCAAGCCTGTTGGAGTATCTTGTCAGTCATGGCGTAGTGGTGCAGGGCAAGGGGAAAAAGCAGTACCTGGAAGGTTGTGTTAATCACTTCCTCCTGGCGTCAGGCTGTCTTTCCAGACAAGCACTAATATGGTGATGCCTTTTGCACTTGTGTTTGAAGAAGCAGCACAAAAGCACAGCCTGGCAGACCCTGAGAGGGCCCTTGGCGAACTGGAAGGCCAGGAATGTGCTATCCCACCAGCAGTGGACGAAAATTCACAGACCAATGGGATAGCAGATGACAGGCAGTCCTTGTCGTCAGCGGATAACCTGGTAGGTTGGTGATTGTCTTATGCAGACTGATTTCTATTTTAACCTGTTTAGAAGAGGCAGAATTCTCTGTCAGAAGAAGTGAGTGAAAACCAGCGAGTCCTATTCAGTTATTGGTCACAGTGCTGGCATGATATTCTTTGTGTTAGTAGGTTCCGTTTTAGAATGTGCTAATTAATGTTGATTGTATACAGCAGCATTTTCAAACCGTGTTTATTCAGATTTTTAACACTTACATTTCCTATTCTTTTACTTCTATCTTAAAGTAATATGCATCCTTTATAGAAAAATAAGAAAATACAGAGAAGGAAAAATCAGGGAAATATAAAAGTCATCCATAATCCCATAACTCAGAGATAACCCTTGTTAACATTTTATTTATATCCTTCTAAACTTTCCTCCCCCTCATATATTTTTTCACTTAAATGAAATAACAATATATATACTGTTTTGTAACTTACTTTTGAATCTTAATATATATTATGAACATTTTTTTCTGAGCCCATAGATATGTCTTCCACAATTTTTTAAAAATAGTTTTATTGTTCTCTTGAAAATGTTATGAACTCACTCTCTGTATGTTTTCACCAGTGTTTCCCAACTTTTTTTATTACTGTCCCTTTAACAAGACTTTTTACATGCTTCTTTTTCTTAATCACCACCCACCTTTTATGACATTTTAAAGGTTTGTATACTGTATGTGTGTCTGTGTTCTATACATTAAAAAAAAAGTCTTTATGTAAAAAAAAAGATTTTTTTCCACACCCCAAGAACCAGATTTTTGCCCTTAGCCCATTACGACAGAATACCACAGACTGGGTGGCTTATGAACAACAGAAACTCATTTCTCACAGCTCTGGAGGCTGGGAGGTCCAAAATGAAACTCCAGCAGCTTGGGGGTCTGCTGAGGGTCTGCTTCCTGGCTCATAGGCAGTCATTTTCTCTGTGTCCTCGCATGGCCGAGGGGCGAGGGAGCTCTCTGGGGCCGCTTTCCCACTCAAGAGGTCTCCTCCTGACCTATCACCTCCCAAAATTCTCACCTCCTAATCTCCATCACATTGGAGATTAGGTTTTAGAATACGAATTTTGTGGGGGCACAAACATTCACTCTATAACACCCCCTTGGGGTTATAGTACCCCTGTTAAGAATGCACATGGGGATGGATTTATTTAAATACATACTTGGAACTCATGTCTCACATACGAGGCTAACTTGTTTCGTTCAGTCAACACTATCTCATGGACATCTTTCCACATCAGTATGTATAGATCAGATTTTTTAATAGCCATGTAAAATTCAGTCATGGATTGCCATAATCTGTTTAGCTAATTCCCTTTAGGTTGTTTCAGTTTTATCACAGGGAACAACGTTCTGTAATGAACATCCTTATAGATAAATCTTGTGCACATCCTTAATTCTTTCTTTAGGATAAATCCCTACAAGTGGTATTGCTGGATCAAGAGTTGGAAGCTCTGGCTAAGCCTTTTGATCCTTAACATCAAATTAGCCTATCGGGAAGGTAATATTGGAATCTCTGCCCACCTGTAGGCTCTCAGTTCTCATTTTCCCATATCCTCATTAAAACTGGGCAATAGCGTTCACTCAGATCTTTGCTAATCTGAGAGGGGAGAGATCCTGCCTTAATGATAAGTAGTAAGGTCGTTTAGGTTTGTCATTTGCATTTCTTGGTGAATTGCTTCTTCATGTTTTTTGCTTGTTTTCATTTGAGATAAAGGTTTCCATATTTCCTTAATGGATTATAAGAACTTATTGTATGTTGAGGATATTAATCCTTGCTATAGGTTGCGAATGTTTTTTATTTTTATTTAAAAGTTATTTTAAAACACCTACCATATTTCTCATTTATCTTGGAATAGTATTCTTAGAAAAGCCTTTTTACCCAAGCTTATATAAATAATTACTTATATTTGTTTTAGTTTTTTTATGATTTAATGTTTGTGCATTTATCACTTTAAACCATCCATACCCACTTCTTAAAGGACAAGGAACAGGCTTTAGAATTGCTTTGATGATTCCCCACAGCTCCTGTTTTGTCATTTCTGCCCCTGCCACGTCCCTCACTTCCCCAATGAATAAATAAAATAACTTTACATTTCCATGAAACAATTCCATTTCTTATTTTTGAAAATAGTTATCCTTTTGTTTTGACCCTTTGATTTTTCTCATTCCTTTCTCAGGAATCAGACACACAAGGACATCAAGTGGTTGCTAGGTTCTCTCACATCCTGCAGAAGGATGCCTTCCTCGTGTTTCGCTCCCTTTGCAAGCTGTCCATGAAACCGCTTGGTGAAGGGCCCCCAGATCCGAGGTAAGCAGGCAGCAGTTCTTGGCTGTCTACGACCCAGATGAGCCAGGACCTGAGAGGTTCCCGGAAACCCAGTGTCTTGGCCCCTGATTGGTGTGACTGCAGAAATTTATTCAGAATGGCTTTACAGCGTCCAGACTCATCATGAATTGTCTTTGTGTCCCCACCGACCAAGAGTTTGCCCAGTTTTGCTTTCCTGGTTTATGTGCTAAAAATAGTTTCATTGAACGTGCATGCACTCTCTTTTTACTGACTAATGGATTTAATACACTAAGTGTGGCAGGGGCAGGATGTGAGCAGACCTCAGTTTCCTGACCTGGTGGGAGACCTTTCCTTCACGGATACAGATTTAAGCCCCAGATTCAAACCAGAGAGGCCAGACCTTTCTTTGTAGTAGTGAAGGAACTGTCACAAGGATGGAGTGCTGTGGATTGTCCATGCAGAGGCTTTGGAGCCCCTGAAAACTGCATTCAGTCCTGGCTCTTCCACTTGAGACCAGCTCCAGACTGTAGGAGTTACCGACATCATCTGAAAAACAGGAATACAGAGAATCACCTTACAGGACCCATTTAATAAAATAATATGTAGTGATGTTCCAAGCACAGGGCCTTACCCTTTATAAGAGTTTTATAGTCACTATTATTAGTCATTAATAAGAACCCTCCACTCTTCTGTTGAGAAGATAACCGTTAAGGAAACGATTTATGGAAGTTTCCCATTTCTTACCAGCCCTTGGGTACCCTCTTCACTGTCTATGAAAGTGGGGAGGGCCGGATGTCTTGGTCTCCCATGAACGGTGTAAAGTACTTGTTCTATCGGGCCAGTTGCAGAACCAACTCTCCAGAGTCAGTTGATACTTGCTCCTGCTGCACTCTCCACTTTATGGCAGGGAGGGATAAAAAGAATAGAAGCTGGCAGCTCGTGTTCTCACAGGATCTGCAGGTCCAAGAGGACCCACCTCGTGCCATCTGCCCTTGTTCTCTTGACATTGGATGCTGTTGCTAGTTCCTAACGCATTGGCTTCTCAGAAAATTCTCAGCGGTAGAGGAATGAGACCTTTTCAAGAAACCTGATTTTTAAATTTTATCTTCTAGCCTCGTCATTGCTTTCCGTTTTCTTCGCTAGATCCCACGAGCTGCGCTCCAAGGTGGTTTCCCTGCAGCTGCTCCTCTCCGTGTTGCAGAACGCTGGCCCCGTCTTCAGGACCCACGAGATGTTCATCAACGCGATCAAGCAATATCTCTGTGTGGCGTTGTCCAAAAACGGCGTCTCTTCAGTGCCTGACGTCTTTGAGCTCTCTCTGGCCATTTTTCTTACTCTTCTTTCAAACTTTAAAATGCACTTGAAAATGCAGATAGAGGTAGGAACTCCAAATTGGTTTTTTAATTTTACACCAGATCCATTAACTGCCGGTGGCGCAGTCACCAGGAATTACAATTACACAGTGTGCTGACCGCCACCCCCAAAGAACTTTTTGAATGAATGAGGAGAAAAGAATGCTTTTCACTTTGACCACAGATTTAAATTACGTGGTCTGTGTGCTAGGCTCAGACCTCGCAAACCTGTTTAACCTGTAAATTATTTGAAATGCCTTCAATTAGTTGCCAAGTTGAGAAATCAGCTTGTATGTGAAAATCCAGATTTCTGGTTTCTCTCAAAAAATCCTGCCTTTCCATGTGGCAGCTCTTGGCGGTAACTCAGGAACAGCTGCTCCCTCTAATGGGCCCATGTTCCATGGTGCCTGTGGCCCTGCCCTCCAGCTGCCCCCACACAGCCAGGGTCCCAGTGGGACTCAGCAACATGCGTACTCTGTTCTCTCTCCACCGAAGGATCTACCTGTCCTCGAAAGGCTTTGGGGTTTTAAATTTGGGGCCCTAATTGAAACTGTTAATCAGTGTCCTTCTTTGTTTTTGTGTCTTACAGGTATTTTTCAAAGAGATTTTCCTGAACATTTTAGAAACATCAACAAGTTCTTTTGAACACAGGTGGATGGTCATTCAGACTCTGACAAGGATCTGCGCAGGTATTTTTACCGAGGGTACTCATTCCTTTGACTTGCCCAGAACCTCTTGATGCATTCATTTTCCAAAGTCCAGAGGAAGACCTTTAACTCCCCCTTTTAAAATTTTAATGAAGTGATGGGAAAATCATGACCTTATAGGCTAATGCTAACCTAATGACTAGTCCCGCCTCACCTCCCCTCCTTCAGAGGGTGCCACGCAGCCTGGGTTGCCCAAGACGTCTTAATGCTGAAAAGTCCGCCTGCTGGGAAACCCCCAGATCCTGGGAAACCCCCAGATCCTGGCAAACCGTTTTTCTAAGTCACAGGGTCTAAGTTATTGGTCCACCCCTTGCTTGGGTGCAAAGGTAAATTGAATTCATCTTATTTTGTGCAATCACGGGACTGTGAAGCCAGCATCCTGCCTGTGTCATCAAACGTAATTCCATAAGAGTTAAACCAACATTAAGAGGTAGATCAGGCAATCGTTGCGTTTTTTTTTTTTTTTTTTAATCCTTATCTGAGGACGTTTTTTAATTGCTTTTAGAGAGAGGTGAGGGAGGGAGAGAGAAACATCAGTGTGAGATTGAAGCATCTATTGGTGGCCTTCTATCCCCACCTGGACCAGGGTATGTGCCCTGACCAGGAATTTAACCTGCAGCCTTTCGCTTACGGGATGATGCTCGAAGCAGCTGAGCCACACCAACCAGGGCCATTATTCCTTTTTTGGTGAGGAAAGTGATCTTAGAGGTAGGTGAAATGAACTGCTTGAGATTTTAGTTAGTGCCAGGGCCTCCCACCTCTAGTAGTTTCAACATGCATTTCCTGTGTAAGGTATGTCCATCTGAGTTGGTTATTCTGGGAAAAAATTTTGAAAAAGGAATCCTGTTTAATAAGAAAACATAACTGCTGTTTGTGTTCAATCAGAATTTCTAATACCTGTCTGTTATTTTCCAAGATGCCCAATGTGTTGTAGATATTTATGTCAACTACGACTGTGATTTAAATGCTGCTAACATTTTTGAGCGCCTCGTAAATGATTTATCCAAAATCGCTCAGGGAAGAAGTGGACATGAGCTGGGAATGACACCTCTTCAGGTAAAAGCTCTAGAACACTTTTTTTATATTTAAAGTTCACTTCAATAAACAGTTATCGGTGCTAGGGATACAAAGAAACAGACATACGTACTTGCACATAATTGCTGCCGTCATGACACTTAGAAGCAGGCAAGGAAGATGTAAACTGCAGAAGAAAATGAAGCAGGGAAGATAAAGAAGGAGAGCTGGAGGTGGGGATATTGTTATTTTTAATGATGTCATCAGGGTAGTCTCCCTGAGGAGGTGGCACTTGAACTGAGAACTATAGGGAGCAAGTTCCCTCTCAGTCACCTTTCCCGGGATCTTGTGACAACAGGATCTTGGACTCCAGCGATGGCAGAAGAGATTGCCTTGTGCCGGCGTGCCTACGAAGACTAGAGGCCCTCTGAACTGCTCGGGAGGCCTGTGGGCTGCCCGGAATTACGTGCAGAGTGTTGGGGCATGGGCGTTTGTCCTAGAAGAAGGTTCCTACTGTCATTAGATTTACAGAGAGATCTGTGCCACCTTCAATGCTGTTTTGAGCCTAAATAGATTATACACAAGTCACATTTAATTTTTCATTTAAGAAATACTGTTTTTGAAAAATCAGTGTTTTTATTATAGAGTGAGCCTTAAAATGGAATACGTTTAGGGGATAAGAATGTATCCAGGATCACTCATTAGCTGCATAATACAAGATTCATTTGTCTTTTTTGGAGGTCCCTGGTTAAGAACCTGTTGGTTTAAAAAAAAAAAAAAAAAAAAAAAAAAAAAAAAGGAAAGTGTTTTTCCAAATTATGCAAGCAATGAATGAGAACTTCCTTTCAGAAATTCAGACAACGCTTCATTTTACGAAAGCACGCATCCCGTATTTTTGCTGCTAGGATGTTTCTAATGAGCACCTTTAGAGATTTCCAGGGTTTCTGCATTGAGCCCTTAATACTTATGTCATCTGTTACCTTTCCCTTGGGTTTCCTACTTAATAGCACTGCCTGTCAGTGATGATCTCATGTCCTCGTAGGATTCCCTCAGAGCCCTGTGCATGTCTGCTCTTAGTTTACCTGCTAAGTCTCTGTGCCTTGCCACTCCTGTCTTTTAGGAGCTCAGTCTGAGGAAGAAAGGTCTGGAGTGCCTTGTTTCCATTCTCAAGTGCATGGTGGAGTGGAGCAAAGACCTGTATGTGAACCCCAACCACCAGACCAACCTTGGTGAGAAAGCGTTGCTGCCCTACCGCCTCCCTTCACAGGAGGCTACTTGTGGCTGTTGGGGAAAGTCGTCTTGGTACAGTTGTCTTAGAATGAGCAAAAACACTTTAGTTTGCTAAATACCTGTAGTATTTTAAAGGTCCTGCTTTTACATCTGGAATTTGGGGGAGAGATTAGTATGATTTGTACTCTAACTTCATTTTTCCAAGTGGAGAACCAGTTCCAACATTTTTTAGTAGTCTCCCTCCCTCACTGATTTGAAGCTCCCCCTTTATGACCAACCATATTCCCCTCTGCGTATGTCTGTACCTCAGTTTTCTATTCTGTCCTGTTGATTTGTCTGTTCTTGCAGCAATACAAGTTTTTGGATTGTTTTTGCATTTCCATAGTTTCATGTGAATTTCAGAATTAGCTTTTCAAGTACCGCAAAAAAGGTAAGTTTTTAAATAAAGTATCAGAGTGATATCAAAGTTTCATGCTTAATGATCTTTACAGAACCAACTTTATTGTTCCAGGTCTGGAAAAGGGAATTACAGAGCCAGGCCTGAGCTCAGCCGTGCCTGTGTCCCATCCACTGATGGTTTTCTTTTCTTTCCTGTCATTGCAGGTCAGGAGAGGCCCACAGATCAGGATATGGGGGATGGGAAAGGCCTTGACATGGCGAGACGGTGCAGCGTGACGTCCATGGAGTCCACGGTGTCCTCAGGGACCCAGACGACTGTCCAGGATGATCCGGAGCAGTTTGAGGTCATCAAGCAACAAAAAGAGATCATTGAGCACGGCATTGAGCTGTGAGTGTGGCTGCTACTCCAGCTGAATCTCTTGGGGCCTCTGAGGAAGCCACATCTCTGGGAGCCTGGGGCTGGCTCCTCAGGGGGAAATGCCTTTTACAAAAGGCCAGTGCTGGCACTTGCAGTCGAGCCCGATTGAGCCAGCAGAGTGAAGAGAAATTCAGTGGCTTTGTGTGGTTGGTGCCTGGTCTTTCTATTGTTTTCTATAATGAAAAAAATTAAACCATGTTAGAAAATACAGAAACGTATAAATTGCTTAGAAAATTGACTACCTAGAAAAAAATCACTATTGGTAACATTTTTCCCAACTATATATTATGAAAAATTTCAACATACAGAAGAATTGACATTTGCCACATTAGTGTTATCTATGTGTGTGTTTTTTTCCCTGAATCATTTGGAAGTAAATTGCAGCCATTGTAATAATTCAGCCCTACATCTTTGAAGAATAAGGATATTCTCCCATATAACCACACCATTATTGTTATAGCCACTGGTAAATCTTAATGTGTTTCTTTCTAGCCTTTTTCACACAAAAATACATGTGCGCACAGTCTCATATCCTGTCCAACTTTTGAATAATTGAAGTGTTGATCTCTTCATTTCTTCTCTCACTATCCCTGCATCTCTCAAAAGTAATCTTTTGAAAACTTAAATCAAGTCGTGTCATTCCCCTGCCTAAAATCATTCCAGGCTTCCCAGTTTCTCATCACAGCCCGATGCAGCCTCTGGCCCCTCTCGCTGGCCTCATCTCCCGCCAACACCCCTGAGTCACATGATGTCTTTCAGGCCTTTGAACACTTCCAGGTGTTTTTGCTATTGTGCCCCTGATTGGAATACTTTTGGCTCTTTAAAGGACTTGGCAAAACTTGTCTTCCCCAAAGAGGCTTAACCACATTATCCGAACAGTTCCTAAGTTATTCTCTGTTCCTACCTCCTGTTCATGTTCTTCCTTCACAGCCCTTGCCACAGTTTGTACTTATTTATGATGTCATTTTCTCCAGTGCACAGTCTGGTAAATAACAAAGTTGAACTTATGCTTTAGTTTAAAGTTTGTCTGCCTTTGACAGGAAATAAAAAAAAGCAGTCTAGAACTGTTGTAGTAGCTCTTGTGGACATCAGAGATCCAGGCTACTTTTAGCTTTCTGCTTCACCAGGCTTTAACACCATCTTCATCTTCATTGTTGCTTCATGATTTAAGATGACTGCTGGAGTACCAGCCATCACACGTATATTCTGGGGAAGAAGGGAGAAAGGGCAAAAAGAGTATGTCTCCCAGCCAGGTCAGCTTTAAGAAGCCTTCCTAGAAGTGCGCATACCACTTCTGCGCATCTCCTCAGTGGCTAGAACTTTACCCCATGGCTGTACTTTATTTAAGGGAAGCAGGCAGGGAAATGGTTTTATCCTAGGGAGTTGTGTGCCCAGCTAAACATCTAGGAAGTCAGCAGTGTTGGAGAAGGGGAGAATAGATGCTGGGTGACCACCAGGAGATTTGGCTGTATAGCTACGTCAGAAGTTGAAGGTGGAATTCGAAAAAGCCGACTGTACACGCAGGACTTTCTTAGCTGCTATAGCATGGCTTATTCATGATGTTATTGTAACTTGCCTCAAATGCTAGTTATTTCTGCCCTTTAGATTTTGAAATGAGCCATCCATGTCCCATCTCTTCTTGAAACAGGTTCAACAAGAAACCGAAGAGAGGGATCCAGTTTCTCCAGGAGCAGGGCATGCTGGGAACATCAGTTGAAGAGATTGCCCAGTTCCTGCACCAGGAGGAGCGTCTAGATTCTGTAAGACTGGGAGTTGAGCACTTGCATGTGGGTTCTCTCAAGTGATTCTGAAATCTTACCAGCTTTTACCCTAGGGATTATCTGACCCTGAGCGCACACCTCTGCTTACAGGAGGCCTACTCATCCCTTTGGCCAGTGATGCAAAAAGCTCTTTGAAGGAAATAAGCTAGCCTGCTGACAAGTCATTGTATATCTTGGTGGGACAGTATCAGAGCTAGAAGTATGCCTTAACTCGAGAAACTCTTCCAGCTGCCTGGCTGCCACAAACATCCCTCCCGAGTGTGTCCCATCGTTCTTCGAGTTTGAAGTCTCTTGTGCCTCCTTCTTTCCCATTGTTTGTGACAGGACAGACTGACCTGGAATGGTCGGGTGGGTGGACAGGCTCGGGGAGCCACCCGGCTCTTTTAGCAGTTCAGTCTGTCTGGGGGTCCAGAGCTGGGCATTCTGCCTCCACCCACTTTGACTGCAGTGCTTTCGCCCTGGCATTCATGCTTGACAATTTCTAGACGTAAGTGAATGTGTATGTTTCAGACCCAAGTAGGTGATTTTCTGGGAGACAGCACAAAGTTCAACAAGGAGGTGATGTATGCCTATGTGGACCAACTTGACTTCTGTGAGAAGGAGTTTGTCTCTGCCCTTCGGACATTTCTAGAAGGCTTCCGCCTACCTGGGGAGGCCCAGAAGATTGATCGCTTAATGGAGAAGTTTGCTGCAAGATATATAGAGTGCAACCAGGGGTGAGTGTTGTGTTTCAGTCCCTTCCACACATCTCTTTCCCTATATCAGAACGCTAACCTTAGTGAGGTGGGAGTTGAGTGTAATCTTGCTAAATCTTTACAAGCAACTAAAGCTTCTGTTCACCATGCCAGACACTGTGCTGAGGGATTATCTTGTGTAAGGCGTCAGAGCAACTGTTTGTGTCTCCATCCTGCAGACAGTCAGATCGAGGACCTGAGAGGCTAAGTAACTTGCCCAACATCCCTACTAGAGCTCACACTATTAATGATGATAAGAGTGTGGTTTTATGGGTTGAGAGGAGGCACTTGGGCACCTCTGCCCTAACCAGAAACAACTCCCTGATTTAGTAAGTGGGATTGCTCTCAAGAATTTTAGTTTTTCTTAATTACATACTGATGGGCAGGTTACAAAAACGGCTATGTAACAAATAAAACCCATTTAAGTACCTGATTCCACAGGGCCTTTGTTCATGTTTCTGTAGGGAGTGAAATTGAAAAGACAGCTGACCTTTATTAAACACTTCCTGTGTGTCAGCCAGGCCATGAGTCTTACATGCATTAAATTTAATTAACGGTAAGCCTGGGAGTAGTATCCCTGTTTTGTAGATGAGGAAACAGACACTGGGACATTGAACATCCTGTCCAAAGTTAATCAGCTAGTGAGTGGCAGAGCCAGCCAGCCTTGTGTGTGGGTTTGCCTAACTCAAAGTGCACACTCCTCTTTCTACGGAAAGTGAAGTTAACAATGTCTGAGTATACTGAGAACATGATCTGGAATTATTCAATCGGAACATTTTGGTAACAGTTCTGTTTCTGCAGTCAACTTGGTTTTCACATTAATTGGTTCCAGTCCTACAGATGTACGGCAAAGAGATGGCATAGTCAGCAAAGGCAGCATCCGGTCATTTTAACCAAATGGATGCTAGAATTTGCTGTGAAGACATAGTTAGATGTTATTTACTTTAAATATGCAGGCATACCTTGTTTATTGCACTTCACAGGTACTGTGTTTTTCACAAACTAAAGATTTGTGGCAGCCCTACATGAGCAAGTCTGGCCGCACCATTTTTCCAAAAGCATTTGCTCACTTGTGTCTCCCTGCCACATTTTGGTAATCTACAATATTTTCAAACTTTTTCATTAGTAGTGTATTTGATACCGTGATCTGTGATCACTGACCTTCGATGTTGCTGTCGTCATTGTTTGGGGGAGCCACAGGCTGCATCCAAATAAGAGGCCGAACTTAATAAATGCTTGTGTTCTGACTGCTCTGCCAGCTGGCCATTCCATTGTCTCTGTTCTTCTCCTCGGGCTTCCCTGTTCCCTGAGACACGACAGTATTGATATTAGGCCACTTAATTACCCTATAGTGGCCTCTCAGTTTTCAAGTGAAAAGGAGAGTCACATCTCTCTCACTTAGTGAGGAAGGCGTTTTGAAAGCTGAGACAGGAGGAAAGCTAGGCCTCTTGTGCCGGACAGTTAGCCAAGGAGTTGCCACAGCCACGCCAGCTGTCAGCACCGCCACTGCGGTCAGCCAGCAGCCATTAGCATCTAGGCAGGACCCTACACCAGCAAAAGGATGACAACTTGCTGAAGGCTTAGGTGATGGTTAGTATTTTTAGCAATGAAGTATTTCCAATTAAGCTATATACATTTCTTTTGACACAATGCTATTGTGCACCTAATAGACTACTATGGTGTAAACATAACTTTTATATGTACTTGGAAACCACAAAATGTGTGTGACTTGCTTTATTGCGATAACTGACTCTGTTGTGGTGGTCTGGATCCAAGCCCATGTATGCCTGAGTCTCCTGTGTGGGCCTGGAGACCTTGGTCTGTTTCCCTCAGTCACTGATACGAGTATGTGATCCAATTAAATTTCACATTAGAATGCAGGCCTTTTGTGTTCTTCAGAATTTCTCCCTCTCCTATTGGGGGCAGTTTGAACAGACCAGTTCTTCTAGCTTTAGCCTCATATCTTATAAAGCTGTGCATCCACCAGTTTTTGTCTTTTTTTTTTTTCTTTCCTAAGACGAAAGCAGTCAGACTTCACCAGCATTTTGTTTAGGACACATAAATATTTCCTTTGCATTTCTACTGTTAAATATCACAGTGGCTAATGTAAGGTGTGACTAGCTAATAACTGGACAGCAGTTTTAGTCAGCTTTCCACCCAGTGCCTCACATGAAGTAGACAATCAAGATGAGGCTCGCGAGGCACTGAGAATGCGCACGAAGGGGCTTCGCGCTCAGGGTCTGGCACTGCAGGGTCGACATCCAGGAGTGAGGGCACCTCGCTTGCTTCACCCTAGACCCTGACCCTGGAGGCTGCTTGGAGATCTTACCAAACTGACTTGAAACTGCTTTAGTCAAAGAAGTTTAAAGCTGACATACATTCTGAATGAGCTTTCTCTACATCCTGGGCTGTTAATTATCATTCAGTGATGATGAAAGTATGAAAACTCTTGACTCGTTGGGCATCAGTGGAGCTATTGGCCTGCTTTTGGTGATGCATGTCCCCGTCCACACAGGACCATCCCAGCCTCCCACCATGCTTGTTCTGACATCTGGAATCTTTTCTTCTAGGCAAACTCTGTTTGCTAGTGCCGACACTGCGTACGTCCTAGCATATTCGATTATTATGCTAACTACAGACTTGCACAGCCCTCAGGTAAAATGTGTTAATGCCTTATATATTGTGGTAGCTAAATAAGTAGTAGCTTTATTTGGGCCACTAGATGTTTTCCTAATGGTTTTTGAAATTTTTTTAAATTATAGGTAAAAAATAAAATGACAAAAGAACAGTATATTAAAATGAATCGAGGCATCAATGATAGTAAAGATCTACCGGAAGAATATCTCTCAAGCATCTATGAAGAGATTGAAGGCAAGAAAATTGCAATGAAAGAAACAAAAGAGCACACGATCGCAACCAAATCTACTAAGCAAAGTAAGGTCTAATGGCAGATTATTTCTATTCACTGCAATTTTCAAGTGTATCAGAATGCACAAACCTTGGCTGGTGTGGCTCAGTGGATTGAGTGCCAGCCTGTGAACCGAAGGGTCGGTGGTTCGATTCCTGGTCAGGACACATGCCTGGGTTGTGGGCCAGGTCCCTGATTAGAGGCGTGTGAGAGGCAGTCTATCCATGTATCTCTCTCACATTGCTGTTTCTCTCCCTTTCTTTCTCCCTCCCTTTCCTCTCTCTCTCATAAAGTAAATAAATAAGACCTTTAAAAAGAATGCACGATTAAGCTCTCTGATGATGAATTTTATTTGCATATCTAGAGATCTGAATAAGAAATGTGATTAAGGCCGGGTGGCTCAGTTCATTGAAATGTTGTCCCATGTACCAAAAGGTTGTGGGTTCAATTCCCAGTCAGAGTACATCCCTAGGTTGCAGGTTCAATCTCTGCTCAGGTGTGTACAGGAAGCAACTGATTGTTGTTTCTCTCTCCATCCCCCCCTTTTTCCTCTCTCTCTAAAATTAATGAACATAACATCAGGTGAGGATTTTTTTTAAAAAGAAATGTGAATAAATTCATTATTAGTGTTATATTGGTTCTCATATCACCATCTTGTGAGGTTTGTGATTTATTACAAGAGAGAATTCAAATAATCTGAATTGCTCCCCAAAAATGTTTCTTAAAACAATGCTTTAATAATACCAGTGGAAATTGTGCTGACGTGATTGTGTCGTCCATTTCTTTGTTTGAGAGGCAGCAGAGTGTAGTGGTTTTGAGCACAGGCTTTAGAACCACTCAGGTCCCAGCTCTGCTGCTGATTAGCGGAGTGACCCAGGGTAAGCTACTTAGCCTCTCTGTGCCTCATCTTCCCATCAGTAAAATGGTAGTATTTCTATAGACTCAAGAGGTAGTTGGGAGGATTTGTGAGCTAATTATTGTAAGTCTTTTGAAGCAATGCCTGGCACTTAGCAAGCGCCCAGTGAGCATTAGCTGCTGTTTATCTCTTATTTCTCTGTAGGTGTAGCCAGTGAAAAGCAGCGGCGGCTGCTGTACAACTTGGAGATGGAGCAAATGGCTAAAACAGCCAAAGCTCTGATGGAGGCTGTGAGCCACGCCAAAGCCCCATTTACGAGTGCCACTCACTTGGACCACGTTCGGCCCATGTTCAAAGTGAGTACCCTGAAAAGTTAGGACATGGCTAACCCCAATTGTGGAGTTAACCAGCTGGAAGCTAGCCGGCGAATTTATAATGATGAAGAGATTGAGGAGAGGAAAGGCCAAGTTTGGGGGTTGCTTTCCGAATAGTAACTCAGGTGAATCCTGCCTAGAAGCCCTTGGATGATGCTGAGGATGCACCAGCACCAGCCAAAAGCATGAGTTCTGTGGTCTAATGTCTGTATTAGAACCCTGCCTTTGCCACTTTGTAGCTCTGTGACCTTGGTCAGTTACTCAGCCTCTCTCTGTTCATCATCTGTAAAATGGAGACAAACAGTGGGTATGGTGGAGGATTGAATGAATAAAAAATTGTTCAGGCAGGCCCTGGCCAGGTTGCGCAGTGGGTTAGAGTGTCGTCCAATAATACGCAAAGGTTGCAGTTGCAGATTTGATCCCCCATCAGGGCACATACAAGAATCAACCAATGAATGTATAAGAGGAACAGTAAATTTATGTCTCCCTCTCCCCCTCCCTCCCTCTCTATAATCAATATATCAGAGTTTGGAAAAATATTTATTCAGGCAAAAGGGAGAGTTTTATTGTGACATCTCATCTTAATGACCTCAGGGTTAGTTTAGCAGATGAGAGTGGGTGGAAGTGAAAGACCATATCCTGAGGCCTCTCTATTTTTCAAATGCCTAGAAAAGACATACATTCTATATAGGTAGCGTTCATTTTTCTCTAAGATGTTTTTATAGATGTCAGTATCCTGTTGGTTGATTGAGCCTAGATCTTTGTGAGCTTTTCTTTTCAGAGAGTTCACAGGAGAATTGGAGGAAAAATAAAACCTGAATAATTGAATTAGGAATCTTTCAGTGAACTAAGTTTATAGAAGATACGTTGCTTATAGGTTTTATTTTGCACGCCAGCCTCTGATTGGTAATGGCAGCGCGCTGCACTGAGGGGTCTCCGATGGATTAGTGGTGTCTGCTGTGAGCACAGGTGTGCATAGTGACAGCGCGCTGGCCTCATATTTACCTTCCTTCCTTTTGAACTGCACGTGTAGTGTATGGCATCTCTATAGTGATAGCCTTGACCACAGTTTAAGAGGAACTGCTTTATGTTGTAACGGGAATAGATTGAAATAAAAATAGCAGTGAACTTGGCATTCTGGATGTGCTCATAACTAATAGTGTGGCCTGTAAGTGCTCTTTCTGCTGAAATTCTAGACATAATTGAAACCTTCCTTCCTCGGCAGCTGGTGTGGACACCGCTGTTGGCAGCCTACAGCATCGGACTGCAGAACTGTGACGACACCGAGGTGGCCTCCCTGTGCTTGGAGGGCATCCGGTGTGCGATCCGGATTGCCTGCATCTTTGGCATGCAGGTAGGTGTAAGTTAGCAATGTTCCGGAGATGCTGGTGGGCTCTGTTCTTTTAGATCCAGCAAAACCAGAAACTATCAGGCATTTCCAATTAACCAAAAGAGTCTCAGCAAACTCCTTACTGCTGCCCATGGAGAAGCAGCCCACAGACTTGTACTGGCCACTGTGTCATTAGGGGGGAAAAAGGGAGGTTCAGGTTAAAGCTCTCTTTAAAAGTTTTTAAGGTTGAAAAACCTTTTTTGAAAGGGCTAGATTGGATTTGATCTACCCAGTTTGCCTACCCCACTGCCTAACACATTTTTTCTTTTAAAATCAGTTTTTATTATATAATTTCCCTAATTTCCAGGTCTTGTGCAGGAGAAGTGAGTAGTTTGATGCAAAATGAGTATGTCTGTAAATGTTTTGAACCTTGGAAAATTCTCGCAAATAAAATACAATTCTCAAACTGTTTTAAAATCAGGACATTGCCAGTCCCATTTATTTTCTAAGTAAGAATTTGCACCCATTTATTTTGAAAAACTCAATCTTCTGTTTCCATTTATTTTACAGTTGGACATTTTTTTTTGTACCAAGACCATAGACTTTGATGTCAGATCATGTGGCTTTTAATACCTAGCTCTGCTCTTTCTCTAGCCATGTGACATTGACCAGGCTACCTTCCCTCTTAAGACACCTTGCGTTTCCTCATTTGTAAACCTTTTGAAAAAGTAGACCTACCGTGCAGGATTGTTACAGATGCTAGAATTTATGTGATAATCTTAGCATTCAGCCGACTCTTCCCTTGCTCCCTCCAAAGGGAATGGAACAGGAACATAAGGTTGAGGTCATTTGCAAGGGAGAGGGCTAGTTCTCAGACCTGCAGCGTGGGGGAGCCTCGGCGGGATGTTCTGATAGCAGGAGGGAAGCAGCCTCCGCAACTGGCATGTCACTGTGCTTGGAGCCTGTCGGTGTGTGTACAGGAGGTATCAGAGAAGCCCAGGGCTCCAGCCATCGGTGTGAAGATGGTCGTGCTGTGGGTAGGGTCTCAGTGTTCTCTCCTCGGCTTCTGTTACAGCTGGAGCGAGATGCCTATGTTCAGGCTCTTGCTCGCTTCTCCCTGCTGACGGCCAGCTCCAGCATCACAGAAATGAAGCAGAAGAACATCGACACCATAAAGACGCTTATCACTGTGGCTCACACTGATGGCAACTACCTGGGGAATTCCTGGCACGAGGTACATGTCTCTCTGAGAGCCTGGCGCTTACCTGGTCTTAGTTAGGGTAACCCCGTGGTCCTTTTATTCAGTGTCAGTCTCTCTTTAGCCACTTTGATTCTTCTGGAAGTCAAGCCTAACTTTAACTGTGGATTTTCTCTCACCCCAAAATACCTCATGTATCTGAAAGCCAGGGGCTGGCGGGTCGGCGGGGGGATGCATTCACGTGCGCCACCTCACCAGTGGCCACCGTTCTCATGGAATACACTTCTGTCGTGACAGCTTTCCTTCCACATTAGCGCCACTTTCCCCAAGTCCCTAGGCACCCCCTGGGAGCTCTTACAGTCAGTGAGTAGATTTAGGACAAAGCTAGCAGCCTGATTTCTCTCCTAATTGTCTCTAAAAAGAAATGATCAACATTTACAATGAGCCATTGGAGAAATTGCCAGTGGGTTCATGTTTTTTTAACAATATCCTAACGTTCTCACCTGGGGAAATACTTATGTGTGCAAACATGTATTTGACAGGTCATCAAAATTTTAGTTGCTCTGGGGAAAAGATTGGATTAGAAACAGCCTAGATGTTTCAACAATGAGAGATTGCTCTTTAAAAAAAACAAAACATGTGGTATACCATTCCTTAGAATGGTATGTGGCCATTTAAAATGATGTTGCTGAGAGGAGAGAACCAGACATCTTGTGCTCCCTGGTCCGGTTTGCCCAGAAATCAAACCTGAATCAATTCAAGCCTCTACTCCCAGCTTTCAGGAAATACAGGGGACAGAGGAACACAGTAAATGGTGACCATGAGAGTGCAGTCTGCGGGTTAGGGTATGACAGACCCTCAGCAAGCTACCAGGTTCTTCAGCGAGTACATTGCAAGAAAAATAGTAGATGAAGGGGAAGGACCTATGGATTAAAAGAAACTTTAGAGAAAAAAGATAAAGATGTTACTAAACACTAATACTGTGCGCCCTGGCTGGTGTGGCCCAGTGGGTTGAGCACTGGCCTGTGAACCAAAGGGTCGCCGGTTCAATTCCCAGTCAGGGCACATGCCTGGGTTGTGGGCCAGGTCCCCGGTAGGGGGGCGCATAAGAGGCAACCACAAGTGGATGTTTCTCTCCCTATCTTTCTCCCTCCCTTCCCCTCTGTCTAAAAATAAATAAAATCTTTAAAAAAAAATACTGTGGAAATACGGTCACAGTATGTTAAATAAGTCAAAACATTGTGAGGCATCGTCCCTTGTGCCAAACATGCACAGAGAATGGGGTTTAAAAGGATAAACAAAAATGTTAACATCCTGAGTGATAACACTATGGAGGTGATTTTTTTTTCCCTTAAATTATATTTTGTAAGGGCTCTCCCATGTATGTGTATTACTTTTTGTTTTGGAGAGAAAACTATAGAGTAGAGGTGAGAGTGTTGAGGGTGGGGGGGACTGTGATGCCAAAGAGGCGAACCGCTGCCGGCCTCCGCCCCTGCAGGGGCGGGGGGACTGCGGGGGGCAAGGCCTGCGGCCCCGCTGCGACTGCGGGGGTCTCGTGGGGCGGGGGCGGGGGGCACCTCTTCCTGCCCAGCAGGTTACGTAGTCTTTGAGCCTCCCTTTTCTCTCTCCCACGTCCACAGGGTTGTCGTGAGAATGAGTTCATGTGCAGAAAGGGCTCAGAACTGCATTTGGCAAATACTGAGGCCTCAGCAGTTCTTGGTCACCAGCATGGCCATCATGGCCCAGGCCTTTGGCCCTTCTCACCCAGCCGTTCCTTCCTCTGTCACAGCTCCAGAGTGTGCCTTATTAGAAAATGCGGAAGCGGGCTGTTGTTATTTTTATTGAGTTGGGTGCTTTTTTAAAGACGTAATCTCTTCTGAGGAGTCATCATACCTAGTGACTCAATGAATAGCTGCTCCCTCTCCTAGAACTTTTTTAACGTGAGGCAGGTGACCCATGTGGCATCCCTGCTGGTTGCCAAGCTGTAGCAGGGCCTGGAAATACTAAAAATGAGTTAACCACATATTTGATGGTCAGAAACCGTGAGAAATCAGGTTGGAGCCAGTAAGTTTTTGGCCTCGTATTGCTGACCTGCTTGAGGTGGGTGTATCCCCAGCTTCTGGAAAAGGGAAGGCATTAATGGTTTACTAGTAGTAATTTAATAGCATGCTATGTGGGCCAATCAGGGAATGGCTTTAGCTTTTTTTTTTTTTTTTTTTTTTAATCTTGAGTATTTTTCTCACTCAAGAGGAAGGTAGTTTGTGAGATACTCAGCAGTGCTCAATGTATAGTAGAGTCCTGTAGTCTGGGATTGGATTGTAAGGTCAGCATGAAGGGCAAAACCCAGCTTCCGTCAGAAGTTCCCATGAAAATCCCTTAGGAAGGCTTTACCTGGTGATCTACATGCCCCCCTTCAGTGAGTTTCCTGCATCTAGTTCTTCCTCCAGTAGAAGCTGAAACCAATTTCTGTTTCTTCAGGTGAGCCTCCCGTGAGAGAGGGCTCGTGTGCGGGGTGTGTTGTCCAGGACCAGAGCCTCCCCCGTGGCTGTGAGACAGTCTCTCCTCCCACTGCACACTCATTCGAGGGCACGTGCTCTTCCATGCAGTTGACCAAGTTACTGGTTGCCTGCTTTAAGTGCTGGGGGTTCAGGAGTACACAAGACGGCATTAATGCCCAATGGGCACTAAAGACAGAGAACAAACTAATAATTAAATGGCATAATGCCAAAAAGGCATGACCAGGGGAGGGTGTGTGATCTTGGCGTGATCAGAGCAGGTCTCTCTGAGGGGCACGTGCCTGAGCTGGGAATCTAAGGAGTGAGCCATAGGGAAGAGCATGAGGAACGTGTTCTAAGCATAAGAAACAGCACGTGCGAAAGCCCTGGGGTAGGACTTGACACATCAAGTTAAAGGAGCAGCAGATAGGCTTGTGTGTTGTGTGGAGGAGACGGGAGGTGGAGGTGGCTAAGTGAGGTTAGATGGTGCGCCCACTGCGTGGCACGGGGAGGGGGGCTGCCTTCTCCGGTCAAACACCTTTCCTTTCTGTCTTGAGCACTTACCAAATTTGCCTAATTAAACATTTATATCCTAAAACTCCATTGTACCAGTTTTCTTTGGCTTATTTCCTCTTTCCCTTCTTAACAGGTTTTTGTTTTTTTGTTGTTTTTTTTTTTTTTAAATAAGTGAAGTCTATCATCCATACCCACTCTCTGGGACCAGGGAAGCCATCCTAAGACTCTCAGATTTTATTCTTACCTGAGAGGCTGTGTATGTCAAACAACTCTGTAATGACTAATTTAAGATCACAGTGCCCCATTCAGGCTATAAAATGGGAACTCATTTCTTCATGCCTTCTTTTCACTAGATCTTGAAATGCATCAGCCAGCTGGAGCTCGCTCAGCTCATAGGAACCGGGGTGAAGACCCGCTACCTGTCTGGGTCTGGGCGTGAACGAGAAGGGAGCCTGAAGGGCCACACGCTGGCGGGAGAAGAGTTCATGGGCCTTGGCCTCGGTAAGACGCCAGGCCCCGCGGCCAGCGGCCACGGGCCCTCGAGTTAACGGGGACGGGGCGCTTCTTGTCTCACCGGGACTGCCCCATAGGCCGTGCTTCCGTCTGTGCCGGCTGGCAGCGCGCTTATTAACGGGAGAGCTGCTTCAGCGGTCTCAGTCGGGGTGAAACTGTCGAGTAATTGCCGATTTTATCAAAATCAGCAGGGTACATTACTCTTCTCTCTATACATAAAACTGTACTGGGGGAAGCCACTTGCTTCAGAAAAGCTACATTTAGGGCCTGCTGTTAGAGGAATGGGCCTGTTTATCTCCAGACTTTAAAAGGCAGTGTCACCCTCCGTTCCGTGTTCGTTTGGGTGGCTTTTTAAACAGTTTTCATATGAAAGTAGAATTACTCCTGGCTCTATGTTGGATAGAGAGACTTTCGTCAGTGCTGTAACAATAATAGTGAATAGGGCAAACAGATGTGTCAAGCCACAGTCCAAGCTCTCAGTTTATACATTTTTAACTCATTTACTCCTTGTAACAACTCAGTGAGATTGAGACTATTATCCCCATTTTGTAAATGAGGGGTGTGAGGTACAGGGACTGAAGTGACTAGAGCAAGGTCACACTGCAAGCAAGTGGCAGAGGTAAGGTTTCAAACCCAGGCCACCTGGTTGCAGAGAGCGGGCCTCTGGGTCCCGCGTGCAGTGGTTGGAATAGTACGGGGTAACGGCTAGAAGCATGGGCTCTGTGAAGACGGTGGGTTGTGCCAGCACCTGCCCCGGAGGGCGCACGGGAGGGCGACCAGAGTGAGGTCCTGGCACGCTGCGCTGGAGTTGAGCAGGTGTAAGCCAGTACGTGTTCCAGGCGCTCTGGGTCAGCGTCCGCTCGTTCAAATTTGTTTTCTTTAATATAGGCATCTAATACTATAAAAATGTAAAAGACTACCCGGAAAGGAGATGGTTGGTACAAGCAAGGAAAGTTGTAGTAAGGGTGCATTTTAAAAAGCCAGATGCCAAAACCCAAGTTCACTTCCATTCCATCCTCAGTAGAAGGATTTTTCACCTACAAACCACTCTCATGTCTGTCTCTTGTCTGCATATGCACTGTTGGCTTTGTGCATTGTGTTTCAGGTAATTTGGTGAGTGGTGGAGTGGACAAAAGACAGATGGCCAGTTTCCAGGAATCGGTTGGTGAGACCAGCTCGCAGAGTGTGGTCGTGGCTGTAGACAGGTAATGATTTTGTTCTCCAGTGAAGCTGGACTGCACAGTGCCTTGGCATCCTCTCTCAGTGATTTTCAACCTTTGTTTTCTTTCTTTCTTTTTTTTAAAGATTGTATTTATTTTTAGAGAGAAGCGAAGGGAAAGAGAAAGAAAATCAGCGTGCAAGAGAAACTTTCATCAGTTGTCTCTCGCACACCCCCAGCCAGGGACCTGGCCCCCAACCCAGGCATGTGCCCTGACAGGGAATCAAACCAGTGACCTTTGAGGTTTCAGGACAGCGCTCAGCCCACTGAGCCACACCAGTCAGAGCAGTTTTCAACCTTTTTCATCTCATGGCACACATAAACTAATTACTAAAATTCTGTAGCACACCAAAAAATAAATTTTTTGCCGATCTGACAAAAAAGATAGCTGTGAGTGTGATTCATTCACACCAGACAGCTTTTTTGTGTTGGCTGTTGTCATTTTTTAATTTGGCCATCGAAGGTAAAAGAGGTCAGTGCCACTGACCGAATAGGTAGGTAGTACATGTTTTAAAAACTCTTGCGGCTCACCAGTTGAAAATCGCTGCTTTATTTGTGTAGTTACTAGGTAAATGAGTCCTAATATGTTTGATGGTTTTCAGTGTTCTCAGTTCCAGAGCACTCAAATTAAGAAGGGTAAAAGTAGCACACGTGATCCACAACTACTAATAACTTTCACATTCATTGGAAGTTTGATTTTGCATCGCATCATGACCTTTTCCTAAAAATTGCAACTTTAATATTATGACCAAATCATATCAAGTTAAAAATACCATAGTGTTCACTATTCACACTGGGTTTCAGCCATTTTTCTTGAATAAAACATTTTTACAAGCCTTTGGTAATTCCAAAGGTAAGTTCTAAAAATGTTGACTTCGGTATTTTTTTCCACCCGTTTTTTTATTGCTCTTATGGAAGAGCAGCTGTTTGGAGGTTCTCACTATGCCATTCCCACTGTCATGACATCACGTGCTATTATATAAATTATGTTTTGACTCTTCCCCCTCCTTTTGAATGTCACTTTCTCTATCATTTTAGGCATTTCTGTTCTCAGCTCAGGTTATTGACCAGTTCTATACCTCTGATGTCTCATCATTTATTTTAAAGTGGAGATACCAGACCTGAAATGTTTCCTTTCTCCCTTTTCTCAGTGTTTGAAATTGAAATTTAGGCCTCCAAATCTAATTTTTATTTTACAATGTCTGGAATTTATCTTCCTAGAATTTTTACTGGCTCTACTAGACTGGATGGAAATGCAATAGGTATGTATTTGACTCCCCTGTGACAACTGCAGAAGCCTTATGTTACCTCTATCTGACCATTACTAACAAGACCTTGCATGTGTCGTTGGGTCTGGCCTGTAGTTGACTTTGTCCGCTGGCTGTGTGCCGTGTCCATGGATGAGCTGGCTTCCCCCCACCATCCCCGCATGTTCAGCTTGCAGAAGATTGTGGAGATATCCTACTACAACATGAATAGGATCCGACTGCAGTGGTCCCGGATATGGCATGTGATTGGAGATCACTTCAATAAGGTAACTCTTCAAATTCCAGAACCATTCCATCAATGTCCATAAACAGGCAGGCAATTAAATTTTTTAAAAAGTGATCGAGAATTTAGGTGCCTATCATTCATTTTTTCTGTGGAGTCAGGGACAGCTTGGAAGGAGTAGTAGCATACTTACATTTTGCTAGAACTCGTGGAGAATAAATTAGAATGCAGTGATGCTGCAAAAGCTTCAATACCTATATCCAGCACGTAAGCTAACAGCACAAAGGTCTTACAGTCATTCGACAAGCACACTGGTGTTTGAAAGCATTGTGAAATCCTAATGTGTTTTTTGAGAAGATTGTGTTCCATGCAATTTCACTATTAAATGTCATTATTTCTTATATTCTGACTTGCATTGCCACCACTCCTCTGAAACCTTTGTAGAGGAAACTACACTTGTTTTTAAATCAGAAATAAGAGACTTCGGTGTTCTGAAACTGACAACTACTGACAGGAAACCTGACTGAACTTTCTTTCTACTATAGGTTCCATTATAAGATGTAGGCACATGCACACATATATTGACTAAATAAAAATCAGAAGAATATATATGTATTACATGTGTGTATGTGTGTATTGGTGACATCATTTGCTACATAAGGGAAAAGTAACAGCTTAATAACACTGTTCCCTACCAAACACATGTCATAATTTCAAAAACATTTTCTGAGGCCTGGAGATAGAGTGGTAATGAAGATGCTTATACATGGTGTTAGTAAAAAACAATTTACCCAAGAGAGAATCACCCTGTATACATTGAATAGCAGAAAATCATGAAAAGAAGTCATCTGCCATTTGGATACAGAACAAGCAGTAGAGTGCTGGTAGATGATTTGTAGCACCTGCTGGTTTCTGTGGTGTAAACAGCCCCCAGCACCGATGTACAGCCAGCAGTGGGGTCCCACTGCTTGCAGATTAAGGCAGAGTTGGGCACTGTTGGTGCTCACAGGCAGCCTCTAGCCTGCACCAGGACCCCACGGGAATGAGGCATTGTCCGATGTCATCTCGCTTCTAACTTGGTATAGCAGCTAATCAGAGTTTTTGTTCGCTTTGTGTCCTTATTAAAAGCTCCAAGTAAAGTATTAATACCTTGCACCACCTGTTTAACAAACTACCTGAGTGTCTTGTACCAGGTAGTGGACAGGTGAACTCTCTGCCTCCTTGGAGCTCACCCACATTTTATGATAAAAATAACTGATGTTAAAGGGTCAAGTGATAAAGTGTGTCAGGCCTCTCTGGAGGTGACCTTTCATCTGAACCCTCAGTGAGGCAACAGCCACAAGAGCCTGCAGGTGACCCTGAGCAACTGTTGGCTGCGTGAATGGTCACACTGTCATCTCAAGTCAACTCACTGAGCAACCATCTTCCCCGCTGTTCTAGGTAAATAAATTCTTACTGGACTAGTTGACAAAGATGATGTGAACTTGCTTGAGAAAGAAAATGTGACCCATTAGTGTACTTTGTGCTTGTTCTCTTGTCCAAGTCTGACTCCTAAGCTGGCGCAGATGTTGCTCATTCGTTCCACAGATCCTTTGGCAACAGCCTTGGAATCCTTTTTTTCTTTCAGACGTGGTTGTCCAAGTGTTTCAGTAAACATTTCCCAACCCTTCAAAGTCTAGATTTCATGCCCAGTGGGACTTCTTTTTTTTTTTGGTGGGGGTGGACATCAATTTGTACAAGTTTCTTTTCCTACCTGCAATTCTGTTGTCGAGACTCTTCACATGTCAGTGCTCAGTTATCTTACGGGTCACTTCTGGCCACTCCTGGGACATAGGCTGGCAGATAGTAATTAGTCAGTTCATGGTCGTCAACTTCATTACAGACGTCTGTTCCGCCTGATAAGTGCCATTAAACACTGTTTTTCTAAACAAAGTTCAGAAAATTCATTTGCTCACTGGGCTCATTACCCTTTGCACCACGTCAGAAAGATGGCTTCCCTTTGGGAACTGGAGCATGTGAGAACCTGGTAGGTTTGAAGGAATGCTGGCTAAGGACAGCTGTCGCGTAGCTCTCGGGGCCCTCACAGAGTCGCTGAGCAGTCACGTGTTTCTTCTCTTCTAAACTAGGGCACTTGTGTGTTCTGGGGTGTAATCCGGTCACAGGAATTCCTGAATTCTTCTGGATTTTTAGGGGGGAAATATTCTTTTTATTACTTCCTAACTACATGAACATCACAGCAACACCTTAAAAGAAATCACAGCTGAAAAATCTTTGACCATCACCACCCTCAGTAGGACCCTTCTGGAAGTTAATGGTTCTTACCAGTTCAGTATATATCTCTCCATGGATTTTTATATACACATGCATATTTAGGTACTCATGGAAATATAGATAATATTGTCTTGGTTTGTTTTGCCTTTTTAAAAAACATAATAGTACACATATTTAGTAACTTGCTTCTTAGCAAGGACTCTTAAAGACTTAACTATGCTAGCATATGTGAATGTATTTTTTTTTAATTGTGGTAAAACATAGATAACAAAACTTTCCATTCTAATCATTTATAAATGTAAAGGTCAGCAGTGTTACGCACATTCTCCGTGTTATACAGCAGGTCTCCAGAGCTCTCTCCATCTTGCAGAACTGAAACTCTGCACCCAGTAAACAAGGACTCCCCATTCTTTCCTCTCCCCAGGCCCTGGAAACCACCCTTTGACGTTCCGTATGGATTTGATGGCTCTAGGGACCTCATGTGGGTGGAATCATGCAGTGTTTGCTCTTTTCTGTCCGGCTTATTTCACACAGAATAATATCCTCAAGGTTCATCCATGTTGGAGCATGTGACAGAATTTCCTCCCTGTTTCAAAGACTGGATTTATTCTTTCTTTTTAACTGCCAAATGTTACTCCATGTGTGTGAACATACTATTACGTAGCCATTTTTCTATTGATGTTTTCATTTTTTGTATTACAAATGATACTGCAGCACGACTTTTGTTGAAACTCAAACGTGTTCCAGTCCAGCTGCATCAGTGAAATTTCTCCTGTGGAGCAGGCTCCCGCACAGAGGTCCCGGTCTCTTGTCAGGGGTTCCGGTGGCAGGCATTTCCTTGCTCTGCGCTGGGGACTTCTTGAGGGAGAAGTCTGAGAAACACCCACCAAATATACACCCATAGCTACAGTCCCTAAAAGGAGGTAAACCACAGACAAGTACAATTATAAGGAAATTGAAACGCCTCAGTATTTCTGCTGAACTTTTCAAGGACAGTGATATTCTTTGGTAATCAGTTGCTGCAGGTGACAGGTGTGGGCAGCGTAAAGGGCTCTACCAAGGCTTTGTCTTTTGACCTTCCACGTACATTTGGATAAAATTAAATAGCACATGGGGAACTGTTTGATGGGTATGGAGTTTCAGTTTTCCAAGATGAAAATTGTTCTGGAGGTTGGTTGCACAGCATTGTGAATGTCTTCAACACTACTGAGCTGTGCACTTAAAAATGGTTAATGTGGGACATTTTGTTACGTGTATTTTGCCACAGTTTTTAACAAGTTAAATAGCACATTTTGAAAGCACTTCTAATTAAATGTGCAATCCTGATCTTTCATTATTAACCTTAAAACAAAAATGTACAGGTCATAGCCATGAAATACCTTTTTTTTTTTTTTTTTTTTGACTCCTTAGGTGTGTTTTCCCAGAGCATTTGTTTTAAAGGCAGGGTGTTCATTTTTGAGGTACAGGACCCCACATCCTATTTCACCTCACTTCCTGTTCCTGCTCAGGTTGGCTGTAACCCTAATGAAGACGTGGCTATCTTTGCCGTTGACTCATTAAGGCAACTCTCCATGAAGTTTCTTGAGAAGGGAGAATTAGCCAACTTCCGTTTCCAGAAGGATTTTCTGAGGCCCTTTGAGCATATCATGAAGAAAAACAGGTATGTGCATCGCTCTGAAAGACCTTTGGTCAAGAGTCCTACTGGGCCCCTAAAAAGACCCCCTGCAGTACCAGCCACCCAGTTTTTCCCTCCTTGGTTGGTGGAAGTGAATGAATGAACAGCTCTGATTCGCATCTGTTGTCTCCAAGTACGTCATGCCAGGATCTGTGTGTAACCTTTCCCAGAGGACACGTTACAGCACTGCGAATTGTAGAAGTATGTCCCACGTCCTTACTGAGACTGATGCGGAGGGAGGGCCAAGAAAGAGTCACTGATGAAGCAGCCTCCGGCCAGGTCAAGGGGTATGTGACCTGGCACTTGTTCCCCAGGGAGGTGATAAAGAGGTCAGGCAGCTGGTCCTCTGAAGCAGCCGCCCTGTTCGTTCATTCACTCGGCCTGTATTTATTGAGGCCTGTCATCTGCTAGGTACTGGTCTAAGTGCCAAGCATACAGCAGCAAAGAAAACTGTCAAAAGCCCTATTTTCATGTGGCCCTGATTCAGTCATCGTTGCAGCTGGGTGGTAGGTATACAGTATATATATTAACCCTCTGTATATTATAGCGTTTATATATATGTGCGTGTGTATATATATATTTCTTTTTTAAGTTTTTCATACTAAAATTTAAAAATCCAGTTTATATTCTCGTGGGGTGGATAAACAAATGTTCAGTAAATCACTGGTGGTAATCACTCTAAAGAACATTAAGGAGATGGAGGTAGAAACACTCCTTTATACAGGCAGTCAGCTGAGATGTAGTGGGTAAGGTGACCCGTAAGTAAAGTGAAAACCCACGGGTAGCTCTCTGTGGTCCTGGGAAGAGTGTTGTGAGCAGAGGGAACAGAGCGAAAGCCCTGTGGCAGGAGGTGCCTGGCATGGCAAGGGGGCCAGTGTAGCTGGGGCGGTGTGAACAAGGGAACATCCTAGAAGATGAAGTCCCAGTGGTAGGAGGGCACATAGGACAACGGTTGGCCTTTGTAAGCACTTTGGCTTGCTCTCTGTGAGAGATGGAACCCACTGGAGGCTTTTGAGAAAATGGTCGGACATAATTTAAAGAATCCTGCATTTGTCCAAGGAAAATGAGAAGCAGTGGGACGAGTTAGGTGGCCTTTGTGGTCCAAGTTTGGACCAGGGAGGAGGTGGTGGTCAGGTGCTGTGAGATTGGATTCGGTCATTTATTGTGAAAGGAAAACGTAAAGCATGTGTTAATGAATTACCTGGGTTTTGGGAGGGAGCGGGGTGAGGATAAAAGGAAGAAATCTCAAGGGTGGTTTTTGGGCATAACCCTTCATGTCTGCCCCACCCCTAAAAAGTGTACTTCAAATCTGCTTGGATCATTGTTTTTAGAAAGAAAATGAAAGCTCATGGGTTTGAAGTTTTTAATCCTATGAGAGCCATTTGAGGTAGCAAAAAAAAGGCAAAAAAGTCTACTTGGTATACTTCTTTCTCTTGGTGTCTCTATTCCTCTCCTGTTCGCTTACTTTAAAGAGAACCAAAATGAAGCCCTCTCGAGCCTGGCATCACCCCTGATTTTCGCATTTGCGCAAAAACACTCCCTCCTGCCGCCAGGTGCACTTTCGCGGGTGCCTTTGGAGCCTGAGGCCTTCCATGGCAGAGCACGTGGCTCCGGCCTGCGCGCTGGGCCGGTGGTTCCGGCAGCCCCAGAGCCTCTCATCTCCTGGCTCCAGGCCTTCCCTGCCTGTCCTGCGGGTGCCCACCCAGCATTTAAAAAAGGGACAGAATAAGTTTAGAATCACACATTGCCAGCCCTTCTCAGACCCTGTTTGTGGAACTGTAACTCCCTGTAACATTTTCAAAAGTATTTTGGCAACAATATACATAAGTCAAGAATCTTAATATTTTTGTGCCTCTTGACTCAGTAATTCTGTAACTATCTCCTAAGGAGTTAATTTGAAATACAACACAATGTTGTGAACCTCACAAAATAGTTAAAAAAAACAACAACAACCCAGAAACCAGCCCTGGCCAGTGTGGCTCAGTTTGTTTAGAGGGCCATCCCATATCCAAAAGTTCTGTGGTTCAATTCCCAATCAGGGCATACGCCTAGGTTGCGGGTTTGGTCCCCGGTCTGGGTGCATACGGGAGGCAGCCCATTGATGCTTCTCTTGCATCAGTGTTTCTCTTTCTCCCTTCCTCTCTCCCCTTCTCTCTCTCTAAAAGCAATGAAAAAAATGTCCTTGGATGAGGACTTAAAACCAGAAACCACCTAAATATGCACAAGTCTCCTTGGTATACTTCTCTTTCTCTTGGTGTCTCTATTCCTCTCCTATTCACTTACTTTCAGAGAACCAAAATGAAGCCCCCATAGAGAAGTTAAAATCACTATGGGTACAGCCACAACATGGAATATTATGCATCGGTTAAAAATATTCACGAAGTTTTTAATATGGGAGATGCTTAATAGTTTAGTGAAAAGGGCAGATTCTAGACTTGGACAAAAAGTATAGTAAAGATAGTGGTATATATTTCTCCATGTAAAATACTGTACCATCATATTAAGGAATTTTTTTCTTTCATTATATTTTTTCACATCTTCCAAAATGTTTATTAACATCCTCATATATTACTGTTAACAATAGGACAAAAACCATTTTAATAAATACTTTTAGTTCTTGCCAGTAAGCTGCCTTTTTCCCTATGGGGAAATAGCCATGAATTTAGTTGTATTATCAAAGCCACCTGGGTATGTATCAGTCCTCCTTTATCTGCAGCTGGCATATTTACTTTGTGGATTTTTAGCTAATTTTTAACTGTTTTGACTTTCTCCTTACCTTCTCGAAATGACCTGTTACCCGTTAGCACGGGTCCAGCAGGCAAACATGAATGTTGTCCTAAGCCAGATGCAGTGTGCAAGCCAGGTCAGGTCTGCAGTCCAGCAGCCACAGGGATAACTCTCACAGTCATAGGTTTGTGTAGCCCTGCCTCTTGCTCTCTGTGATGATAGAGTGCACCGTAGAATTGTAGATGTCTCACTAGGCTGCAAGACATATATGGTAGTCTGTTACAAATATCTAGGCAACACCGTGTTGAATCTTGAAGTTGCTTCAGAAAATGGGCCATTTTTTCTATCTCCATTTTTGTTTTTTAATAATTAAATTTAAAATTCTGTATCTAACACCTGATTTCCAGACTCTCTGAAGATGGGTTTGAGAGTTAATTCTCTCATCTTCTGGAATTGGGCCTTCTAGATCAATAAACCTTTCCTTGCTTGCCAACCGCCGCCCCCCCCCCGCCCTGCCAAAATGTGTGTGTGTGCGTACTTCCATCCATGTATATGTTTTTGCCATACATATATATCCCTGCCCAAAAATCTAAGAGGAGATGCACTAAGAATTTAGGAATGGTTATCTCTGGGCAGCAGAATTATTAGTGTAATAATAGCAGAGTGTATTAGTGTAAGTGTTTTAAGCCAGAAGAGCCAAGCAACAATGGCTTAAACCATAAGGCCATGTATTGTTTATTTAATAAGTCAGAGGCAGGCAGTCCCATCTTTGGTTTCATAGGCCAGATTCTCATCAAGGGCTTAGGTTCTTTCCATTTCTATGTTTGGCCATCCACAGGGTCGCTACTCATCCTCGAGCCTGTTGTTTTGTGATTGTTGGACTGAAACTGGCTCCAGCCATCATGTGATGTTCAGAGCAAAAATAAGAGGAAAGGGGGCTGAGCCTCCCATGGCTGTCTGTTCCTTTTAAGACAAAAGTTAAACCTTCCCAGAAACTTCTTACAGATTTCCTGTGACATCCAATTAGTCAGAGCACATCACATAGGTCCCCTAGCTGTAAGGAGGCTAGGATATCAAAGACCTGGCACATGTGGCAAGATCGCCATGTTGTCTTAGACCATTAATGGTCCATTCCCTGACGGTGGGCCTGTTGCTGCCCGGCTGAAAGCAGAGTCCTGTTATCAGAGAGGTGGGAGGGTGGCTGCTGGATAGGCCGCTGCCTGCCTGCCACAGGGATTATCTTATTTTTTTATTGTTGTCTTTCATGTTTTTTAAGGTTGTATGAGAAGTTTATTTGAGGCAAACTGCCCACATATGCCAGGGAGCAAGTCTCAGATGCTCTGGAGAATAATAGTTTTGTAGCTTCTTGTATGCATGTGAAATTAAGAAAGAAGCATAAGGAACATTACATGGAAGTGGAAAAAAGCAAGGCAGGGATTGGATTACAGGATAGTTAACAAGATCATGTGGTCTTTTATTTCAAAGGTGTGTTAACCTAGATGCACAGAAATAATAGACAGGTCTTGCCGGGGACATGACTACTTACCATGACCTACCCAGCTAGGAATTTATGGTCAGTCACCCTGTGAGGTTACTTTCCAATGAGGTTTTTTTGTTGTCCACCGTTCCCCCTTTTGGTCATAAATCAATCCAAAGGATACATTCATGACCAAGCTTTGGTCAGATTATGTCTCTAATTTTTTTCAAATGAATATAGATTGTGTTCTTCAGAGAAATTTTTTGAAGTGCTGCTTCTACATGATGAGCTGTGTTTATATGTCTTCGCACTGTCCAAAGTATAGATGACATGTCTGCCCATTCCTCCTCAGGTCACCAACTATCCGGGACATGGTGATCCGCTGCATCGCCCAGATGGTTAACTCCCAGGCAGCCAACATCCGCTCAGGTTGGAAGAACATCTTTGCCGTGTTCCACCAGGCAGCCTCAGACCACGATGGGAACATCGTGGAGCTGGCCTTCCAGACCACAGGCCACATCGTCAGTAAGTGACTGTTCCCTCCTAACATCCCACCCGCAAGTCTAGAATAGTGACCATTTATTTCCTGCCTATTTTACTCCCCAGAAAAGGGCTTCCTTGGTTTAGCTATACTGTGATATAATGATGTGCCACGTGATGTTCTGAGTTCTAGACGCGTGCTTAGACAAGTGCAGAGCAACCCTATGAAGGAAACGCTGTCAGCCCTCATTATTCGCGGATTCTGTTTTTGTGAATTCACCTATTGGTAAAATGTACACGTAACCCCAAAACCAATGTTCCCGGCACTCTTGTGGTCATTTGTGGACATGCACAGAATAGCAAAATACTTGAATCACCCAAGGTGCGTGTTCCCAGCTGGTTGAACAAGGCAGTGCTCTGCCTTTTTGTTTCAGCTCCTTTACTGAAAATAAACAAATGTCCTTTTCGTGGTTATTTACTGCCATGTTTTTTACATTTTTGTCTTATTGTTGGTGACTTTGCCATTTAAAATGACCCTGAAGCCCTAGCCACATAGCTCAGTTGATGAGAGCATTGTACCAATATGCCAAGGTGGCGGTTTTGTTCCCCAGTCAGGGCACATAAAAGAATCAGCCAAAGAATGCATAAGTGAGTGGAACAGCAGGTCAGTGTTTCTCTCTCTCTTAAAAAAAAAGAAAGAAGAAAAATTCAATAAATAAAAATTTAAAAAATAAATAAATGGCTCTGAAGCATAGTGCCAAAGTGCTGTCCAGTGTCGCTAAGCACAGGAAGGCTGTATTGTACCTTGTGGAGAAAATTGATGTTTTAGATGAACTTCATTGGGGCGTGAGTTGTAGTGCTTTTGTTGGCTATAAGTTCATTGTTAATTAATCAATAATATATATTAAATAAGGTGTCCTTAAACAGAAACAGACATAAAGCAAGGTTATGTATTGATCAGTTGATGAAAATGTTATGATCAGAGGCTCACAGGAACCTAACCCTGTATCTCCCCTAGGAGCAGTTGTTCAGTATTTGCTAATTCAGTGTTCCCAGCTACTTTAGAGAAAGTAACTGCCACAAGTAACAAAAAGTGACTATACCATTGTTTTCCTGAAGAGGATCCTGAGGCACCAAAACATAAAGGAGAACGCCATGCCTGAGGCCACACAGCTGGGAAGGGGTGGAGCAGGCTCAGGCCAGGCAGTCCAGCCCAGAGCTGGTGCCGGGACCCTCTGCTCTGGATTGACCAGAAGTTTCTGGTCCTGCCTGTGATCATGTAACAGAGTGTTTACTGGTCTTGGCCTTTGTGGAAATTGTAAGGCATTGGGTCAGCTTTCATCTTTTTTGAGGTCTCTGAACTTCGTAAACTTCTTGCCACTCATATATTTCTCTCAGGTGGTATTTGTAGGGTTTAGAAAACCTTAGCTTTCTAAATTGCTTTTCACCATTAGCTCATTGACCTCCTCTGTCTTCACAAAATTCCTCCCAGCATGGTAGTACGGGGTGTGGTGTTAGGAAGGAAACAACCAGAGAACTACGGGATGTGCTCAGGATCACAGAACGGGGCCAGCGCCTTGCTCAGGGCTCAGTGTCCATCAGGTACACCCTGTGGGCCAGCTTCACACACAGACCAGTGTTTGTGTCCTATGTAGTTCCTCCAGCTCCACGCTAAAGCGGCTTAAGTGGACGCCTGGGCACCCGGGTGCAACTTAGTTTTCTTGTGGCCCGCCCTCTCTCACTTCCTCAGGGACACTTCTCAGGACCTCTGAAAAGGCCTTCCCTGACCGCCAGCCTGAACAGGCCCTCTCACCTTCTGCTGCCTAGCCAGGACTCACCCCACCTGAGATTATGTGTGTATTAACTGAGATGATTGTCTCTTTGGCCCGTCGGAGCACGGGCATTGTGAGGACTGGAAGTTTGATTCATCATCTCCCGTGTCCCCCGGTCCCATAACCATGCTTTCCACACAGTTGGCACTCAGTGTTGAATAGATGGCTATTTGGGTCTTCATATTGTTCCTTGAGCTCTGGGGCCAGTTTAGCCCAAACTGTACTCAATGCACTTATTCCTGAATAATTTACTAAGATGCACTGTCTTTCAGAAATACTTATTTGCTTTGCTTAGATTTTCACAAAAGAAATCCTCTCTGGGTTGTGTGTACATGTCTAATCCCCATTTCTGAATCCTGGTCTTACTTTTTTTTAAAATATGTTCCTTTGTCTCCCCAGCAACTATTTTCCAGCACCATTTCCCTGCAGCCATCGATTCCTTTCAGGACGCTGTGAAGTGCTTGTCGGAGTTCGCCTGCAACGCCGCTTTCCCGGACACCAGCATGGAAGCCATCCGGCTCATCCGCTTCTGCGCGAAATACGTCTCTGAGAGGCCTCGGGTACGTCTCTCCTTTCCTCGCTCACATGGACGAGAGGGAAGGCAGTCGTGGGGCCAAAGCCCTGACTGCTGACGAAGCACGTTCCAACTGCTCCCCTAGAAATGCGTGTTCGCCCTAAACTGGGTGTTAATTTCGGAATGCTGCTGCAGTGGGTGTTACACCTTTTCTGTACTTTGTACGTAGGACATTATTTCAGTCAGCTGAACTTTTATACTGTATCCTACTAATTGTTTTGTAGAAGATAATAGCGTTTTAGCTTTGAATTTTGGCAAAGCAAAAGACACTAGACCTTTCTATTTGAAAGAAAACAAACCTCCCTTGTAGGAAATGGCATTATGCCATGTGACACGGCTGAGAAACCTCAATGGAAAAGCACCTTTTGCTTTCTCCTGGAAATGTTTGGGGGTTTTCTGTTATGTGTGCCCTATCTAAAGAGGCCTGCTCAGTTTAAATGACAGCCTCAAGACTGTAAATTTGGGTGGACACAAGCACAACCAAACTACAGTGGCCTACACAGGTCTCTTCCTAAGCTTTCTCTGCAGAAGTCTCAATGCCCACGACAACGTGTTTGGTCCCCACAACAGCTCGTTGAGATGTGCTGGAGTTGAGAGCCACTGTGGCTGAGCTCCTCCTGCACATTGGGCACCATTCTTGGTCTTGTCTGTGTGCTGATTTATGTAATCCCCACAGCAGACCTGTGAGATGAGTAATTAAATTATGTCCCCTTTGTGCAGGGGAGTTAACTGAAGCACCGAGAGAAGTTGCCTAATGTTAGATAACCGGAGTTGATAAAGAAATTCCATTACAACAGACAGTACCACTTTAAGAGTGGTTACAGAGCAGAGGGCTCGAAATACTGGAGATAGGGCTTTACATCCAGACTGTGGAAAGACTGCCAGCTCTTAGATGCATGGCCTCGGACAGCTTCCCTAACCTCTTAGTGCTTCCCTTGACTCATCTGTAAAACGGGACCATTATTTCTTCCAGCCTCTTGGAATCATTGTAAGAATTTTTTTTTTTTTAAGATTTTATTTATTTATTTTTGAGGGAAAGGAAGGGAGAAAGAGGGAGCGAACCATTCGTGTGTGGTGGCCTTTCGAGCGCCCCCTAGTGGAGACCTGGCCCAGAACCCAAGCATGTGTCCTGACTGAGAATCAAACCGGCGACCCTCTGGTTCTCAGGCTGGTACTCAATCCACTGAACCACACCAGCCAGGGCTCATTGTGAGAATTGTTAATCCATGTAGAGCACCTTCACAGTTCCTCACCCATAGCAAGTGCTCAGTAATAGTAGCTGCTGCTGCTGCTGCTGCTGTCATTTTAAGTAGCATTTTAAGTACTGTAGTAGCATTGTAGAAAGACCAAAGATATTGAATCATCTCTTGCTGACCAGATGTTTTTAGCAGAGGACGTGTGAGGCCTTCCGGTCTGTGTAGTTCCCTTTCAGCTCCTTCCTTTTGTTTACACAGTCCGCATCTGAGGTGACTGTCATTGTAGGTGCTACAAGAATACACAAGTGACGACATGAATGTGGCTCCTGGTGACAGAGTCTGGGTCCGAGGCTGGTTCCCCATCCTGTTTGAGCTCTCCTGCATCATCAATAGGTGCAAGCTAGATGTGCGGACAAGGTAAGCGTGCCCCAGGGCGGCGCCCCTCCGGCCGCTGAATGAACCTCAGTCTCCTGCTCTCCTGACCCCCTGTGCCCCCACTCTCTTCTCCGCTGCTCTCTTCACCGCCCCCCATGCCCTCTTCGGCGTCTGGCTTTGTTTTCTCCAGAGGCCTCACAGTCATGTTCGAGATCATGAAGAGCTATGGCCACACCTTTGAAAAGCACTGGTGGCAGGACCTGTTCAGAATCGTGTTCAGAATTTTTGACAACATGAAGCTGCCAGAGCAACAGTCGGAGGTAGGTGACGACTAAGGCCCTGCCCTGGATGAGGTGGGAGGCGAGCCTCTCGGGCCCTTGTCTGCCTCTGGCGGTGGTGTCCTCATCTGCACAGGAGTCTTAAATACTGAGCCTCCTAACGTGTGTTTTTAAAATGGAAACACCCTCCCTGGCACTCTTCCAGCATTAGCAATAGTGTAAGAAAGCCCCCCTGCCCGGGGAGGAGTGAGAGGACATTAATCACTGGACTGTGCCCCCTCGGCCCTCAGGCGTCATACCTGCCCGGTCAGCAGGGCACCTGACCGGCCCGCTTACCTCCTGGTTCGCATCAACTTCGGAACAGTCAGTAACTGATTTGGAGTGACTCTGGTCCCTTCAAAACATACTAACAAGGTTTTTAATGAAGTTACAGTCAGATGATATCAGCAAATATTGGGCCTTTTTTTTTTAAAGGATGTTTGATGCTTCCTTCCAGTTGTTATTTCTCCCCTAGGGGAAGAGGGTGGGGAGAGGGCATTCTAGCTCAAGATTTGAAGATGGGAGAGTAATTTTTTTTACCTTCTTTTAGGAACAGCATTCCTTCCCTCCCCTGGTATAAAAGGAGCATATGCTTAATATGGAATATTAGGAATATACAGAAATTCCTCATTTTACCATTTAGAAATTAGAGTTAATGTTTTGGTAAATGTCTCTCCCTCTTTAACATGGATTAAAGAGGGTTGAGGTCATAGTATAGAGACAGTTTTTTAAACTTGTTTTAAAGTAATTAAAATTTTTATTCATTATAAAACAAGGTGGAAAAGAGAAAAACTGAAAAAATTTAAACACCCACAGTTCTAAACTTCCATGGGTAACCACTTTTAACCCCTTCAGATACGCTGTGTGTGTATGTGCATGTGTGTATCAAACACCGTTTTTTTAAAAGTAAAAATGGAATCCCATAACACATACTGTAAACTACTTTTTAACTTAAATGAATGTTTCTCTACAACCATATCTTTTCTTCTACGGCATTTTTAAGGACTGCAAAACATTCCTATCTATGGACCTTCCATAGTCCATGGAAAATTGCTTCAATTTTTCTGTCTTCAGACAGCACTGAAATAAACTTTCTTTTTAATGTTTAAGTGCAGCTGTACTTTTACTTACTACTTGTTTTATTTAGAAGTGGCCTGTCAGGTTTTGGGCTTGCACATTACTGAGGCTTTTGATACACATTTCTAAGTTGACCTCCAAATACCCTTGTAGCAGTTCACATTTCTGCCAGAAGTGCATGGAGTTTCCGGTTCCCCATATGCCCTCCAGCTCTTCATGGTTTAATTTATTTAATCATTAATTTGATAGGCCAAAATAGCACATTACAAAAATTAAGTTGCTAGGAAGGTTGCATGTTTTCCTCCATTTCCTTGATCGTATGTGTTGCTCTGTAAATTGCCTTTCAATATCCTTAGCCCATCTATTGGGTTATTCAGCTTTTTCCTATTGATTTATGAGTTCTTTATTATAAAAATAAGATAGCATATCCTCACATAAATTTCAGATGATTTTGCCCAGTTTGTTTTCTCATTTCCTTTTTGGAAAATTTTCGCTTTTAAGTAACCAAATCTGTCAGTTTTTCCCATCTTGGTTTCCACTATTTTGGAATCATGCTTAGCAGTCCTTCCTTTTCTCACGATTATATAAATCTCTCTATGTATTTCTTTTGGTAATTGTATAGTATCATTTTCTATCTTTTAGCTTCATTGAGATATAATTTACACACAGCACTGTATAAGTTTAAGGTGTATAGTACAGTGACTTGATTTAACATATATTTTGAAATGATTACCAAAATCAGTTTAGTTAAGATCCGTCATCTCATATGGATACAAAAAAAGAAAAAGATTTCTTGTTAATGGGTTTTAGGATCCATTCTCTCAGCAGCTTTCAAATATGTCACACAGCATTGTTACGTACAGCGCTCACGTTGTATGTTATATCCCCAGTGCTTATTTTCTCCCAGCTGGAAGTTCGTACCTTTTGACCCCCTTTATTGATTCCTCCACTCCCACCCATCACCTCTGGTAACCACAACTCTGATCTCTTTTTGTATGAGTTTGGTTGTTTGGATTTTTTTCAAAGATTCCATGTAATGGTGAGACTATACAGTATTTGTCTTTGTCTGGCTTATTTCTTAAGATAATGCCCTCAAGGTCCATTCATGTGGTTACAAATGGCAGGATTTATTTCTTTGTTGTGGCTGAATAGTATCCCATTGTGCATATATGCCACCGTTCACCTGATGATGGACACTTAGCTTGTTTCTGTGTCTTGGCTTTTGTTGATAATAATGCTACAAACATGAGGGTGTAGATAGTTCTTCAACGTAGTGTTTTTGTTTTTTTCAGACATGCACCCAGAAGTAGAGTTTATTGGATCATATGGTAGTTCTATTTTTAATTTTTTGAGGACCTTCCATACCGTTCTATAGTGGCTGTACCAGTTTACAGTCCCACTACGAGTGCACAAGCATTCCCTTTTCTCCACGCCCTTGCCAGCATTTATCTCTTGTCTTTTTAATGAATGCCATCCTAACAGCTATGAGGAGATGCCGCACTGTTGTTTTGATTTGCATTCCCTTCATGATTAGTGATGTTAAGTACCTTGTCAACTGAATGTTGGCCATTTGTCTATCCTCTTTGGATGATACCTATTCATTCATTTTTAATATTTAAATTTTTGATGTATGGGTATTTAGTATAACCTCATATTCATTTTCTCCAATTCATTGAAACATTTTATAAGTAATATTTTGAATAACTGTTTAATATTCTGTCATATGATATACTCAATTTAATTACCACATTGCTAGGCATTAGTTTGTACCTGTGTTTACAGTATATAAATACCAGTGTGGTAAACATGACCTTCATCCACAAATCTTTGATTATTTTCTTAGGGTTCATTCCTGGAAGTAGTGTTCCTGCATCCGTGGATGTGAATGTTTATGACTTTTGATACATACTGCCAAATTGCTTTCCAGAACAGTTTGCCAATGGTGTATGGGAGAGAGTGGCTTTTAAACATTATCTTTTTACTGTTTTTCCAGAAATCTGAGTGGATGACAACAACTTGCAATCACGCACTTTATGCTATTTGTGATGTATTTACCCAGTTTTATGAAGCTTTGAATGAAGTTCTTCTTTCTGATATATTTGCACAGTTGCAGTGGTGTGTAAAACAAGGTACTCTGTGTCTCTAGGCATCATTTATCTTGACATAGTCCTTCATGAGAGATTAGTTTTTTCCATATACTTTAGCATGGATATAATGCCAAGGAGTACAATATATCATTTACTTGGTGAAAATTACTTAGGTTGGTGAACACAAAATACAGTGTACAGATGATGTGTTGTGGAATTGTGCACCCGAAACTTGTATAATTTTGTTAACCACTGTCACCTGATAAATTCAGTAAAAAGGAAAAAAATAATTGATGAAAATTTATATTTTTACAATGTAATTAGAACATAAAAACAATCTCCCAACGAAGTCAGTTTATAAAATATTTCTCGAAGGTGGGATGTAGTTTATACTGTTCTTTCAAACTTTTGTATGCTTGAAATTTTCTATAGTAAATTGTTTTTAAAATGTACTATGGGCCCTGGCTGGGTGGCTCAGTTGGTTGGAGTGTTGTCCTCGTACACCAAAAAGTTGCAAGTTTGATACACAGTCAGGGCACATACTTAGGTTGCGGGTTCAGTCCCTGGTTGGAGCATGTAAGGGAGGCAATCCATTGATGTTTCTTTCTCACATCATTGTCTGTCTGTCTGTCCCTCCCTCTCTTCCCCACTCCCTCTCTCTTTCTCCCTATTCCTCTCTCTAAAGTCAATAAAACATACCCTTAGGTGAAGATTTTTTTTTTAAACAATGTACTGTGGGAATCAACATCAATTAGCTTCATCAATGGACATTTTTTGTTTGAGGACTTAGGTGTTTATTTTAGTGTGTGTTAGGAAACATACCCATGTAGCACAGTAAACGTGGATGCCATAGATAGCTTTGGCTTATCAGGATGAGGATTAATTTAGATAAGTTTTTCAAAAAAATGACTCAGTTTTAAAATACTGAATGATAAAACAGTTGATACCGATATGGCAAAAATTGAGAAAGTAGAGTTTGAGTGACTAAATTTTTAGAAACACTGTTCAGATACCTTCCATCTTCCTTTACCATTTCTCATACAAGAAGCCAGTTAATGAGGTAGCAAAGTGTTGACCTTCTTCTGGTCTCTAGCAGTAGAGCTATGATAAATAATTTCTCCTCTTTATAGCCTACTTGAACCATAAAAATTTTAATACCATCTGTAGCAGTGCTTCATTAATTAGCCTACAAACCCACCAGTGGCCTAGTCTCCACCTCACAGTATGAAGCATCAGAGATCTGGTGGGAATCAAAACTGCAGTTAAAATTTAATGATAGATATTGTTTTATCTCGCAGATAATGAGCAGCTGGCGCGATCAGGTACAAACTGCTTAGAAAACTTAGTAATATCCAATGGAGAAAAATTCAGCCCTGATGTCTGGGATAGAACATGCAATTGTATGATGGATATTTTCAAAACAACTATCCCACATGTGTAAGTGTTATTATTATTTGTTCCTATGTTCAGTGAGTATCTTGAAGCTCTGGGCTGCCTTTCACTGTGATCATTTTCCTTTTCTTGCATTTTCTCAAGTCTGCTGACATGGAGGCCTGCAGGAATGGAGGAGGATTCATCAGAAAAACACTTGGTAAGATTTTTCTGTTGGTTCTCTTTTCTCTGGCCTCATTTTATATTTAAAAAAAAGTAAGCAGCCCACAGACTTTATGCTTTCCTGATGGAAACTAAGTAAAAAAGGTTGTAAGATCTAAAAACCATATATGTTTATTGGCACATTTTTTTAGAAAGTACAGGAAAGTATGGGTTGGCCAAAAAGTCCGTGTGGTTTTTTCTGTAAAATAAAGGACACGTTTTTCATTTCCACCAACAACTTTATTCATTCGGATATTCTGAGTATGTCGGCTGTCTCTCAGTTTGATTGCTGTCAACCTCACCTGGTCTGTCCGACCACGGAGCTTTGTCCAGTGAGAAATCTCCAGCACAAAAATTTACAAACCACTTTTGACATTTCCGATCAGTCACAGCACCGTCTCCATGCACTGCACACATCTTGTTTTGCAGTTTAGTTGTGTTTTTACCTTCCTTGAAATAATAAAGCATAATATGCCAAAAACGTTGTGTATTTTATTTTCATCTTCAATATAAAATTGCTGCACAAAAATTCATCAATTTGGTAAGTTTTTTTAAATGCAGCCTGATATGACAACTGTCACAATACAATCTAACAAAATTTTTTCCAATTAAGTTAAAGACAAACACTTCTAGAGCCATCTAATGGGAAAACTTTTTGACCAACCCGATATTAAGAAAATAAGTCACCTCAATAAAAACCACAAAGCATTTCTAGTTATATTCTCTAAGAACAGCCTTTTCAGTAGCTGCACATTATTATAATTTATTTAGTGAAATCCCCCTTGTTGAACAGTTCCTTTCTGGTGCCTCACTGTTATGAATAACACTTCAGGTGTAATTATCTTTATTTATCCTTCTAAATAAAGAGTGCTTCCCTCTCTACCAGTGAAATAGTAGTTGTGTTTTGTGTGAAGCCACATAAAGTTCTAATTCAAGACTCACTTCAAAATACTTTGGTTTACATGGGTGTTTGTAATATTAACTTCTATTCCCAAATAACAAAAAGGGCATTAGATTTCAAAAGGCATTTGGGATATAACAACTTAACCATAAAGCCCATTACTTAAACATTTTCTGGTGGGATTTTTTTTGTTTGTTTTTTCCCCTTATTATGTTATTTTTTAATTTTTTCAATTATAGTTGACAGTATTGTATTAGTTTCAGGTATACAGCATAGCGGTTGCACATTTATATAACCTACAAAGTGACTCCCCCCGTAAGTCTAGTACCCCCTTGACATCATACATAGCTATTGAACTCTTTCTGTTGCCAACTTAGAAGAAAAGCTAGTTGTCATACTAGTTTATTTTTTAACTTGATCTCATTAAAAATTGGTCATGCTCATTGTTAAATCACATGTCAAGAAATGTCCTCTAAATTGGAATAAGAAAATGTGAAGTGTTAATGGAGGGAAGAAATAATTGAAGTTTGTAATCTCTCCTGTGCATCCCCTGAGAAGTGCCACATTAAGCATGCAGTGCAATTGTACTTCAAGCTGAGCAAAACACACAAATTCAAGTGGGGCCCTAGTGTTAAAACAGGCACTGCTCTGCCCGGGTATTGAATTGTAGATGAAGAGGAGCGAAGTTGTATTTCTCTCTGGTTTATTTTTAGGATGTGGATCTGGACCTCCAGTCTCTAAGCAGCATGGATAAAAACGCCTCTGAGAGAGGCCAGAGCCAGCTCTCCAACCCCACCGACGAGAGCTGGAAGGGTAGACCATATGCAAGTAAGGCCACTTTTTTTATTGTTCTTATTGACTTCAGAGAGGCAATACCCATGGTTCAAATATTCAGAAGGCACAGAAGAGGAAACATGATGAGCCTTTCTTCTACACCGTGCCCGAGTCTGCCCGTTCCCTCCCTGTCTGGCCGCCAGTGTCACTAGTTTCTTACGTCCCTTTCCAGAGACATTAGTTTATATGCAAGAAGTATATATTCGTATACCCACAAATATATATATGTGTGTGTGTGTGTATAAAATATGAATTATTTTCGCCTTTTTATGCAATTGTAGAATACTGTGCATTATTTTTTTCACTTAATATATCTTAGAGCTCATTCAAAATCCATACCCAGAGAAAGACCTTTCACATCCTTCTATACTATTGTATATTATTCCAGGCTATAGGTGTGCTGTTATTTGCTTAATTAGGTCCATAGTAATGGACATTTATATTATTCTGCCTTTTTTTCTGTTACAATCAATATTTCACTGATCACCTAACACGTGTAATTTGTAAATTTATCTGTACAATAAATTCCTAGTAATAGGATTGCTGAGTCAACAGATGAAAAGTACATTTGCCATTTTGACAGATAATTTCAGGTTGCTGCTCATCAAGGTTAAACCCGTTTACATGATCTTTGGGAATGCCTAGGTGATAATTTGGTATATTTGGGGTCATTTTAATGTGCAGTTGTCTAATAATGAGAGACACTAAGCCATTTTTGATGTATTTAAAAACCAGTTCTATTTTTTTTTCTAAGAACTATCTGTTCATAATCTTTGCTCCATTTGTATTGATTGTTACCCTTTTTTAATTTGGATATTCTGAGTATGTCGGCTGTCTCTCAGTTTGATTGCTGTCAACTTCAACTGGTCTGGGGGAGCTCTTTGTGTCTTAGAGATCCCTGTCCTGGATACTAGTTTCAAATTACTTTTATCAGCTTGTGTCTTAATGTTGCTTATGGTATTTCTGTTATCTGTCAAAAAAAAAAAACACTAGGTTAACAGCCCTGGCTGGTATGGCTCAGTTGGTTGGAACATTATCCTGCAACTGAAAGGTTGCAGGATTGATTCCCAGTCAGGGCATGGGGCACATACCTAGGTTGTGGGTTCAATCTCTGGTCTGGGGATGTATGATTCCCGATTCAGATGCAGTCTGGACATGTAGATCCCAGTCCTGGGAGGCAGTCAGTCAGTGTTTCTCTCTCATATCAATGTTTCCTTCTCTCCCTTCCTATCTGTTGAAAAGCAATGGGAAAAAAAAATCTCCTTCGGTGAAGATTTAAAAAAAAAAAAAAAAAAGTTTGCCAGTTGCTATGAACCAAGCACTGTACAATGCATTTCTTGTGTGTGACACCTCTTGTCATCCTTATGCTGCCCTCTGAGGTGGTACGATTTTACATTTGAGTGGCCTAGGGCTTAAACTGATGGCATGACCTATGGTACGTAGGAGAGGTGTGACTCAGGCTCAGTTTGGCTGATTGAGAGATTAGAACTGTTCTGAGTCTGCTCTTTTTAAAGTTGTGGGCCCACCGTTTTTCTTAGTAACAGAACCTCGCTCTTCTCAACATGCCAGGCTGCAGGCGTTAACATTGCCATTAACTTCAGAAGCAGCACATTAGACAAAGCCATGTGTGTTCATTATCTTCTGAAGGCATAAAAACTAATCCCCCTTGAAGTCCATTAAAAAGGCACAATGCGGGAGACTGGCACTGCCCTGTAACTGCAGTTGCGTCACGGATCCAGTTTCCCGCCAGCATCCGTGAGTGCATGAGCTCTGTTGCCTCGCCAGCTCTAGTTAGAGGGCTGGCCAGTGTGTAGGGAGCAAGCGCAGAACCACTCTCAGTGCAGCAGAACGTCTGTCCTCTGAGGGACGCCTGGGACTGGAGACCCCTGCCCTCCCGCCAGGGACCAGCGTCTGTCTCTCCCGGTTTCCTGTCTCATCCTCCCCTCTGGGCTTCAACCCAGTGAGTGGAGCAGCGTGCGGAATCTCTTACACAGCTTGTATTCTTTTCTCTCCTTGTTTTTATTTTTGGTCCAAGAGGGCATAACTGAATTGGTGTAAGTTAGAACATTGCAAGTCCACTGTATTCTTCTTTGATTAAAGGGAATTCTGCTTGGGGATCTTATATAATTTCATAGCAACTTTCAAAAACTTGACGATGACCCATCTTCCTTGTTTGCCATCACTAAACACTTCACTTAATGTTTTTCATATTCTGATTCTGTAACAATAAGTTGAATGAGAAATCTCTACTATCACTACAGCGCAATCAGCCAACACCTATGAAGTGTCTGCCATGGGCTGCCCCTTAGTCCAGGGGTTGAAAAGAAAGGATAGATGCAAAACTAGTTACAGTCTAGTCAGTTGGCAGAAATCACACCAATAATTTGAACAAAGAAAATTCTACATAAAAAATTGTTAATCCGTCAAAGATGGCCAGCCCGTAGGAGTAGAAGAGGATGTGTAAGTTTTCCTGCTGCATCCAAAGCAGTCCTGCCTCCAAGGCAGACAGGAGGTGATCCAGAACTAAGGACTGAATGAGCCCTGCCCATCAAGACTGAGACTCAGACCTGTCTGGAGAGTCTGGCCACTGCAGGAGCCTATGGCCTGTGGGGGGCGCAGTCCCGAGCTTCTCTGTAGCAGTGGCCCATCGGGTGCCTGGAGGGTGCTGGGTTTCCATAGGTGACTCCTCTCCTTCAGACCTCTGCTCAAATATCAATATTTCAAGAGACCTTTCCTAATCATATTGTTTAAACTTGCAACCCCACCCTGAGACTATCCCTGCCTTATCCCACCCCTACCTTATGTCTGCATCATTCAAATACTCTATCCTACACTTAAATATTGTATGTGTTGTCTTTCTCTGCCATGGGAGCTTACTCATTTTTGTCCAGCTTATTCATTGTTCGGCCACAGCATCAAGAACCATGCCTGCACCTAGTAGTCCAGGGAATATTTATCCAAAACTGGCTGAATCATTATTAGGGTTAATCTTTATCATCTAATATAGATCAGAAACTGTTTGCCAGCCTCCTCATCAAGTGTGTGGTCCAGCTGGAATTGATACAGACCATTGACAACATCGTGTTCTACCCTGCAACGAGCAAAAAGGAAGATGCGGAGCACATGGTCGCTGCCCAGGTAAGAAGAGCAGGCCTGGAGAAGGGTGCCCCAGTGGCGGGGAGGCGGCGGGGGTGCCGTGGGCTGGGGCCGGCTGGTCTGTCCTGCTCGTCTCTTCCCAGCCCTGTGTTGCCCATCATGCTGGTAGCTTGAAATTGGCCGTGATGGGAGTATTTATACCCTAGAAATCAGCAAACACTAAAAATCAGGTCTGCTTTTTTTTTTAATTCCCCAGAGAGCCAGCTTACCAGCATACCACTGTTCAGATGCCATCCCCTTTCCTTGAATGTCATCAGTCATGGGGACTGTTCCTCATAATTGGTGTATAATTTAACTATCAATAACTGAGAGGGAAATATGTGTGGATAACAATACTAGTTTTTCCTTGAGGGAGTTCACTTTTTGTTTTGTATATATAATCTATATACATGGTATTCTTGGAAATAAAGGGTAAGTGTCCAAAATATGGATGATAACCTTACACCGTGGGGTACAAATTTAGGTGCCTCGAGCTAGCAGTTCCTGTGGGAGCGCAAGGCAGGCTGGGTGGGACTGTGACAGAGCTCCAGACCAGTCGGAACTGGAGCCACCCCCAGCTTTGGGGAAGGAGGATGTCAATTCGGAACAGTCTTTCAGTTTTCAAGAGGAACCAGAATCAAGACTTTTTCATATAGGAAATCACCCTTTTAAGCGCTGTAATTACTGATGAACAAAACACATCTGGGGGCTAGATCCAGTCCAAAGGCTTTTTAAATTTTTTTTTATTTTTAAGTGTATAATTCAGTGGTTTTAGTATTTTCAGAAAGTTATGCAAACATCACAGCTTTCTAATTACAGAGTACTTTTTGCACTTCAAAAGGGAACACCCTAACCATTAACAGTCACTTCCCATTCCCTCCTGGCTACAGCCCTTGACAACAACAAATCAAATCTACTTTCTGCCTGTCTGTGCAGTATTTGCCTAATCTGGATATTTCATGTTAATGGAATCATATAATAAGTGAGCTTTGATGTCTGGCTTCTTTAACTTAGTATAATATTTTCCAGTTTCATCTATATTGTAACCTGTGTCAGTACTTCATTATTTTTATATATGACTAAATAATATTCCATTGCATGGCTATACCACATTTTAAGTTTATCCATTCATCATTTTGTGGACATTTGGGCTGTTTGCATTGTCTGACTATTATGAATAATTCTGCTATGAACATTTGTATGTGGGTTTTCATGTAGATGTATGTTCTTAATTCTACTGAGTATATATCTAGGAGAGGAACTCCTAGATCGTATGGTAACTCTGTTTACCCTTTTGAGAAGTTAATTGATGGACTGTTTCCAAAGCAGCTGCACTATTTTACATTCCCATCAGTAGAGTGTGGAGGTTTCAGTTTCTTCACATCCTCACTAATGGTGGTTACTGTCTTTTTAAAAAATTATTATAGTCATGCCAGTGGGTGTGTGAAGTGGTGTCATTGTGGTCTTGATTTTTTGTTTTCCTGATGCCTGATGATATTGAGCATCTTCTGTGCTTCTTGGCCATTTCTATACCTCTGGAGAAATGTTCGTTCAAATCTTCGCCCACTTTTAAATTGGGTTATTTATCTTTTTATTGCTGAATTGCTGAATTGTAAGAGTTCTTATATATTCTGGATACTGGGCCCTTATCAGACATATGTTTGCAACTGTTTTCTCCCGTTCTGTGCAGTGTCTTTTCAGTTTCTTGATGGTGTCCTTTGAAGCACAAAAGTTTTTAATTTGTTAATTAAAAGTTCAACACTATTTTTCTTTAGGCACTTATACGTTTAGTGTTAGAGCTGATAAAACATTGCCTAATTCAAGGTCACAAAGGTTTACGTCTGTGTTTTCTCTTAAGAGATGTACCATTTTAGACCTTATATTTAGGTCTTTGACCCATTTTTGAGTTCATTTTCCTATATAAGGGGAGTTAGGGGTTTACCTCTATTTTTTTGGCGTGGATATCCAGTTGTCCCAGCACCATTTGTTATACTGTTTTTCCCCAATGAATTATTCTGGCACCAATGTTATTTCTGTACTCTCAGTTCTGTTTCATGGATCTGTATGTCTGTCTTTATGCCAGTTTATCACACTTGTCCTGATTACTGCAGCTTTTTATTAATTTTTGAATTTGGGAAATACGAGTCTTCCAGCCTCATGGACCTTTTTAAAAAAATTTTTTATAAGAGTTTATTTGAGCAAAACTGATGATATTACTAGGAAACAAGATCTCAAGTGCTCCTTTTTTTTTTCTCAAGATATTTGGCTTCTCTTTGTCACTTAAATTTACATACGAATTTTAAGATCAGCTTGTCAATTTCTGCAAAGAAGTCAGCTGGGATTTTGATAAGGACTATGTTGACGCTATAGATCAATTTGGAGAGTATTGCAAACTCTGCTCTTTTTGTCCTTTTGTAAGTCTGGCTCATGAGGAGGGTGGGCCCCATTCCTAGAGGGCTCAAGAAGTGTAAAATCCCTGATTTAGGTCTCGCATTTTAGGCAACATGTACCATTAAAAAATTTCAGCATTTCATGCATGTCCTTATGAGTTTTTTTTCCTTCACATTTGAAAACACTGTTGTTGAACTTAAATTCATCGGCCACCTGATGAAGCTCAAGATTCCAGTTGGGGTTTGCTTAATAATTTCTATCTTTCAGTGAGTGTGTTTCGAGACCTAAACCTTCTATCATAATATTACTGTTTGATTTTGTCATTTTCCCATTTCTTTATAAAATAAAGAGGACAATGCAGTTTCGTAGTGAAATAATCGGAGAAATACACACTTCTTTCCATCCCGTGAAGGCAGTACTGACAAAACTGAAACTTCGTCCAGCAAAGTCCAGCATCATGCAAGAGCTCAGTGTATTCTCTCACCAGCCAAAGAGCAGAGTCTAAATGGAAAATAATTCAGAGTGCTGAGAAATGAGGTCTATTTTACACATGGGGTGACTTTTTGGAGAGTTGTAACTGCAATGTCCAAAATCCATCCATCTTCTTTACTTAGCTCTCTATCCTCCCCCCTCTAGCAAGACACGCTGGATGCAGACATCCACATAGAGACGGAGGATCGGGGCATGTATAAGTGCATGTCTTCCCAGCACCTCTTCAAGCTGTTGGACTGCTTGCAGGAGTCCCATTCATTCTCGAAAGCCTTCAATTCCAACTACGAGCAGCGGACTGTCCTGTGGCGAGCAGGTAAGAACGCTGCAGAACAGACGGGGCCACAGAGGTCATCGTCCTGAAGCCCGAAAGCCTTTGGGAGAGTGCTGATACTGTTTAAGTGTAGCTGGAATAACTTACCCACTGTTTTCACACGTGGGGGAAGAAGAAAGGAAATGCGAGGTAGCTTTTATCCCACTGCCAGGAACATTGCCTGGCACTCCCGATTCTCAGTAAGTTTTTGATGGAAAAACAAATTTTAAGTTAGAGAAATGAATTGACATATGAAGTCAAAAAATTTTACATTCAAGTTATGTAGTTAGAGGTGATGATACAATAAGTGTGGTAGTTTAGGAGAAACAGAAAGCATCCATACATTTTTCTGAAGCTTTTAGGCATTTTCTCTCTTCCCCACCTCCAAAAATATATATACAAATCCTGGCCAGGGTGATGGAGGGAGGCTAGTTTTTTGAGCTTTACACAAAAGTGATATGTATTTTCTGTATTGTTACAATTACTTTAATTTTATCCCCAAATGCCTATTTTAACCTACAGTTTTTAAATCTCATTTTTCTCTGTGACTTTAAAATATGTAGATATTTTATGCCTTGGGCTATAATAAGGTCTTGCCTGTGACAGCCTATGACTGGTTTACACATCTCTGTGTTTGCTTGGTACTGCTTTGTTTAAGAAAATGTGTGTTCTTTTGTGTCCTTTGTGGAGGGGAAAAAAAATCTCACAACAAGCTAGAAGTCTTAAGAACTATTACACTTGACAAGCTGAAGCAAATGGCTTCACCAGCCATTGAGCAGAGGGTACGGGGAGAAGAGTTGGGGCAGTGAGGATGGGGTGCGTCTTACGCTGAGGGTGAGCCGTCTGGCTGCCTTTGCCTGGTATCGCAGTTGAGCTGTATTAAGAATGTGAGCTGTTTATTTTTTTTTAAAGTAACTAGATTAGGTTCCCAGATGATTTTTCAGCATTAACCTAGAAATGTACATCATTTCAGTGACTCTCTAATCTCCAGGTTTTAAGGGCAAGTCTAAACCCAATCTTCTAAAACAAGAAACCAGCAGCCTGGCCTGTTGTCTGAGGATCCTGTTTCGAATGTATGTTGATGAGAACCGCAGGGATTCCTGGGAAGAAATACAGCAGCGACTTTTAAAGTAAGAAAATTGGTTGCCAATTAAATTTCTTATCTGTAATACATCACAACAGTACTGTGAATTGAAAAATGTAGGAGTGAAGTACCTACACTCTGATGTCCTCTTAAACTGTTTTCCTTTGTGTTTTTTCCTTCTCTTCGGTGACTTTTCTTTTTTCCTATTTTTTAAAATTTTTTACTGATTTAATTACAAAATTTAATAAAATACATCTCAATGCTTAATTCATTAAAATATGACATAATTTTATTTTTTTGGTTGGCGGGGAGAGAGAGAGAGAAACAGAAATTTGTTGTTCCACTTATTTTATTTATGCACCCATTGGATGCTGCTTGTATGTGCCCCAACTGGGGATCAAACCCTTACAACCTTGGCGCATCATGATGATGCTCTAACCAACTGAGCTACCTGGCCAGGTCCTTTTTGGTGACTTCTCCATTTCATGTTTCTTAATGTCCTGAAGCTGGCAGGGCCTTGTTTCTTTAATTTATAAATTTCTTAGGGTACAGAAACATGAGCAGTGAAAAGTGCTCTGAACTCAGAGTCAACAGGCCTGGAATGAAAGCCTTGCCAGGTTCTCTTTCAAGCCCTCAGTCCTAACATCCCATCTTTTTTTTTCTTTCCAAGAGGAACGTATTAGGATCATACGGATACCAGGATGCATTTGCTTTGATTATGGGGAGACAGTGGGATGCCATTGAGAGACCCCCAGACAGAGAAGTAGATTTTTGCCACCCAGCTTCTTGGGCAGCTGTGAGAAAGATGCTGCATCTGAGCCTCCATTTACACCTTTAAGATTTAGAAACAGTAACACTCACTGCTGCTCCTGTGCACCTGTGTGATAAGACTCACTCTGCAGCACTGCTGGTGGGGAGTGTATTGTCAGAGTCTTTCCGGAAATCAGGTGGCACTACGTATCAGGAGCCTAGAAATGTTCAGTGTCTTTTGAGTCGGTAATTCCACTGTTACGTAATTTATTTAAGGAACTATCTTAAAAAATAGGAACCAGGATTCCTACACATAATATTAATTGCTGACTTTCTTAAAAAGAGAAAAAATTTAAAACAGATTAACTGAAATTAATTTACAGTAAAACCTATGATAGAATACTATTGTGCAGCCATTAAAGATTAAGGTTTTCACATTGTGGGGTGTGGCTAAGGGAGCCAAATCAGGACAACTGTAATAGCATAATCAATAAAATATAATTTTAAAAAATTCGGGTTTTAAAAAATAATTTTCCTTGATGTGGAAAACAGTAAGTTTTGCCACAAAAACACAGCCTGTAAAACTATGTATATGTATGATTTTCGGCAGTGTTTTCTTTTTTTAATCATAGACAAAAAAGCTGAAAGGAAATATGCCTAACTATTGTTGTGTGTCCCTTAGGATAATGGAATTATGGGTATTTTCCTCCTTTATACTTTTATGCACTTTTCAGCTGTCTTACAATGAGAATATAAGACTAACAAGTCATAAACAAAAAAGAATTAAAGGGGACACCAGTAGCTCATTTCACAGTAAATGAAACCTGAAAGAGAATTACCTATATAGTTGTGGTAAGTTTCTCTAAAGGAGATACATAAATGGGAAATTTGTAGCATAAGATGTTTAAAATGTTAGCAGTTGGCCCTGGCTGGTGTGGCTCAGTGCACTGAGCACCGGCCTGCGAACTGGAGGGAACTGGAGGGTCGGCAGTTATTCCTCATTGGCCAAGCCCAGGTTGGGGGCCAGGTCCACTGTGGGGGCCTGCGGGAGGCAACCCATCAATGTTTCTCTCCTTCTCTTGCTCCCTCCCTTTCCCTCTCCCCAAAAATAAATAAATAAATAAATAAATATATTTTTAAAACCAGTAAATAATAAAATAGTAAGCAGTTGTATATGATATGAGAAGAGAAAGATAGGATATAATTAACTGTGGATAATAAGCTCTGTGCTTTTCAGACTTTGATTGAGCATGGCTATGTGGCAGGTCAGAGCTCAGCTGACATTTAACATACTTAGTTCATTTAATCTTCACAATAGCCCCTTGAGTTTGGTACAATTATTTATCCCCATTTTACAGCTGAGGAAACTGAGGCTCAGCAATTTGCTCAAGATGGTACAGGCAGAGCAGGTGCTCGGTAAATGCGCATTGTGAGAATCAAGTGCTCTCCACTCCAGGGGGATGCGGGGTGTTGACCCTTTGCTCCCTGTGCCCCTCTCTGACTCTTCCAGCGTGTGCAGTGAAGCTCTTGCCTACTTCATCACGGTGAACTCGGAAAGCCACCGGGAGGCCTGGACCAGTCTCCTGCTGTTACTTCTAACAAAAACCCTCAAAATAAATGATGAAAAGGTATAAACTAACTCTGTTGTCTCCACTAGGACATAGGTTTCGGTTGGCTTGTTCCTCAGAGTTCAAGGGAGCTATTTTCTTAAGTCTTCCAAGGATGGCTACATAACCAGCACCGTTCCAGATGCACTGGAGAGAAGTTGGTGCGTTATAGAGCGGATGTCTTGGGTTGCTGGGGCTTTTTCTCTCAAAGAACCGCGGCTGAGGAAGGCTGCCGTGGAAACCAGGCCTGTTGCTGTTGAACAGCCACGGCGGTGTTCGGTGTTCGGCATGGCTGTGTTGGAAGAGGGCTGGGATTGGCCAACACTGGCTTAGCCCTGGAAACTTGCTTTACTAAAACTAAGGTTGACTTTGGTAGCAAGGCTATCCCCCGATAATTTGTGTTTGGAGTTAAATATAAGGAAGTTTTAATTGGCAGATTTTTTGCACCAACTTTCTAATACCAAATAGCAAGAAAAAAATGCCAATATTGCAACAAGTCCCAGGATGAGATGAATACTTTTGAAAAACTATTGCCAAAAAATAGCTCCATGTCTAAATCTCTCTCTATCTTTCTCCCCCATCTCAAGTTCAAAGCACATGCTTCAAAGTACTACCCCTACTTGTGTGAAATTATGCAGTTTGACCTGATTCCTGAGCTTCGAGCAGTTCTGCGGAAGTTCTTCCTACGGATAGGTGTTGTGTTTAAGATATGGATTCCAGAAGAGCCATCACAGGTACCAGGGACCCTGTCACCAATGTGGTAGCCCTGGCCCCTGCGGGCCCCTGCTGCTTCTCTGCAGAACGTCCACCATGCCACCTCTGCCTGGCACGTCTCCTGAAGGGGCAGGTCATCGAAACGAGTCAGCGCCTTGGAGCTCTGAATGGTCTGGACAAAGATGGCCTCTGCGTCGGTCCCATCAGAGTCCCTGACGAGGGCGTGTGGTCCTTCACTAAATGCAGTAGGCGGGGAGTCTGTTTCATCTCTGTCATTCCATTTTACTGCTTGAACTGCCTGTCAGGCCCGCCGTTGCACATGCCACTGTCCTCTTCTAGGAGGTCCCACAACTGCCCGTGAGTGTTTCGTCAGAGGAGGCTGCTCTCCTTGAAAATACTGGACGTGGCTGTATAGGTTCGTGATTGTTAAAGAGTCTGTTAATAAAATTTCTTGTAACGGCTAAGTGCCACCTAAAATATGCTGGGTTTTTGTTGTTTGAGTGTGTTAAAGAAGTTTGAGTGTTTTTGTCAGTTGTGAGTCAGCGGTAGTTAGAGTAGTTTGGGGTAAGGTAGGGGACAAAAGGGTTTTTCTTTTCCCTGTTTTGTTTATGTCTGAGTGATTTTTAAAGTATTTTACAAAAACATATTATTGAAGATTTGATTAAAGGCAGAGTTTAGGAAGTAAGTTAGAAGAGCGAGCTTGCAAGGTTAAAGAAAATGTAGTGCCTCCTGACTCTCCATTTTAGGACCTGGGGGAGAAAAAGTCTACAGGAAAAAGGAAAAAATTTAATGAAGATGATTAGCCTTCCTTGAAGAAAGTATTTGTGGTAGATGGGTATTAAATTAAAATTACCAGAATACATTGTCCATCTCACACCCCCTGAAGTCGTAATATATGACGTAGTAACAAAAAGGAAGTAGTAATTTAATGGAGTTAATTTATATTTGAGTAAGCCTTTTATTTTTACCTCAGAATATTGAGTGCACCCATTGTTACTGTCCCTGCGCTGCACAGCCCCCATCCAAGGGCCCTCGGGGGAGGGACAGTGGCTGTGTGGGGGAAGGGTCTCTCTGTGAGCCTCCTCAGGCACCGTGGTGAGTCAGGCCAGCACAGCTCATCTGTGACCTTGGCAGGAGGTGACATGTGCCCAGTGTTTCTGTTAATTTGAGCTGAGGAGCTGAATTCTTTGGAAGGTTAGATTCTGAGGCCCTTTTTGTGTTAATGATGGTGCAATATTTTTAGCTGCAGAACTGAATAGTGATGCACCTTATGTCAAAGTGGGCGGTACACAAATATCGCCCGAAGCCTGTGAGCAGTATATTTGGAAGCTTAACATATTCTGAGTCCGGGAGGAAACCCACACTTCACTCTGCCCTCATCCTCTGCTCACCTAGAGCAGCAGTCAGCATTAGCAAAAGTGTTACACAGAGTTGTTAAAACGTTCGGACTTCTACCTACGCCCTTTAGTCCTGTCAATTGGGTTGTATTGATGTCAACTCTGGTGCCTTAGAAGTTAGTAAGTTGGGAACCGATCTATAAAATGAGATATTTTTTCTTTATAGAGAAGGATTTCTGGTGCTTTTGTTTACTAAGAAACCAATTTCTTAAATGTTTTTGTTTCTAACGGCCTTGAGAAATGTTTGGTTTGGGCCAGCAGTGTGCTGTCTACTTTTTTCTTTCCCCAAAAGTGTTTTCATTTCTTTACCAAAGAAAAAAAGCAAGTTTATGTTTTTATGTTATTTACATACATTTAGAAGGAGCTATATAAGCAGGGAGGGACCTCGGGAGAGTATTTTACTGTGAATGGAAAATGTTAGCACATTTGACTGACTTGTCTTGAATCCCCTACATCTTGACGCTGCATCACGGAAGCTGCGTCCTAAGACTGACTCCCTGGTACTGGGGTTCGTCCGCACCTCAGCAGGTCAGCCATCCCCATCAACATTTGTACTAAAGGTATAAATGGGAAACACGCATGTTCGTTACATTTTCTGTGCAGCTGCATCCCTGATTGAGATTTTTCCTTTCCTTCTGAGGTTGTCATGTGACATTTTCTTCATCAAAGGTGACTGCAAGACTTTCCCAGTATATTCCCGCCTTCTCTTTAATTTTTGTCTCCTTTTGCAGAGTAAGAAATGTGTAGTGCATTTTGTTACATGGTAAAACATTCAGATTTTTATTTCTTTTTCACTTTGTCTTTTAAATGATTCAATTTTCTGAATGAGCCATTTGAATTGTACCAGCATGGACTTTTGAAAACTGGATGTAAAACCACTTAGGGTAATTTTTCTCGTCGGCAGACGGTGACCTACAGAAGCAATCCCTTACCTCCAGTAATAAGCCATTCAGCCTGAATTCCACTTTGTGAGTAAATCTGTTATATCTCATGATACACGTGGCTCGTGCCCCTCAAACACTAGTGACAGAGGTGTGTGTGACTTGGCAGTTCCACACCAGGACCCCGCTTATTATTAACAAAGTCAAGGGAGAAGAGGGAAGCATTTCCAAGGCCTTATTTCTTTCTCAGAATGCTTTAAGTGTTGAGTGTTGAGTCTATGTGCTGGGTCTCTAGAGAGTTTTTATTTGTTACAATACTGCTGCTCTGAGCAATTTTGTTTTTCTTCATTGTCCTTTGTGGAAATCACCAGCTTTGGTATCTTAACAACAAACAGATGGGAAATGTTATTTCAAATATGCATCTTTAGACTCAAACACACTTTTTCCCTGATACTCCTCACATACAACCAAAGAACATACACTATGGAAATTGTACAATAATATCTGGAGACACAACATTTCCCTCCAACAGGTGACTTTTGTACAAAATGCAAAGAAAAAAAAAAAAAACCCTGAGCTTTTTCTGTTCTTTTGTGATTATGGCTATATATTTGGTAATCTTTAATAGTTATTAAAGGAACCTGTTGACAAATACAAGTATGACCATCTTGTTCAAGTGTTTGTTGTTACGATGCAAATGGATATTGGTTTAAATAGAAGCTGGATTCTCAATATTGCATTTTCTCAGTTCTCTTTCTGTATTTGTGTTAAGGTAGACATAGCTTGAACTCACATCCTGGAGTTTTGCTATCAGCAGCTTTGTAGTTTGGGAAACAAAGAAACCAAAGCTGAATATTTAAAAGAATGAATATATCTGGAAATCCTTGCTGTCCAAAAAAGACACTCATCAAAGGTATAGTTTTTCTCAGTGTTCTAATTTTTTAAAAATTTTACCTGCATATTTGCATCAAATATTTCTTTATGTGCAAAATGTATGTTTTACCTCCTTAAAATGCCTAAACGTTAATAGCTACTTTTGTTTAATCTATACATGATGATTAAGTGCATTTAATATTGGTAATTTAATGAAAAGCATTCCTTGCCCAATGGATGTATACATTTTTGAAAGAATAAGCAGAATTATATAATATGAAATGCTATGTAAAGTTTTCTATGTAAAAATATTATGTATAATACTGTTAAAATCCCATGCTTTAATCAGGTAATAAATCAATAAAGTTTTAAAAAGTAAAACTGTTTCTAATGTAGTAATTACTTTGTATATCAAGCCATACTTTGTTCTTATGACAGCTGTAAGCTTGTAGCTCAACAAATATAATTATTAATGGGAGAATATTTATTGTGAGTTTTAGGGTTTTTTTAAGTACAGTTCCCCTTTTCCCCTTTCTCCCCCTCACTCCATGAAAAGGGAAAAAATCCAGTCATGAGATTTTTATTTATCTCTTGAATCCACTTTGACTCATGAGTTTGATCAGTGCATTCATTCCCAAGACCAGACGGAAACTGCCACCTCCTCTCCCCCTCCTCGTGCTGGCACAGAGGGCGGCCTGCAGGGGAGCCAGCCGGTCCTGAGGGGAAAGCAGTTCTGAGGTTCCCACACGGCGCCCACATGCGAAGACAGTCAACTGTGTTGCAAAATCCATTCTTTCTGAAAGAATCTAAAGTTGTAAATCAGTATTGTGGTTAAAATACTCCACTGCCAAAATTGACTAATACCTTGTCATCTTTATTAGTTCACTGGAGTAAAACTAGTCTCTGTGGTACTACATTTCAGGTGCTTCCAGTGAAGAGCAAGAAGACAGCCTTTCCTTTTGGAAAAGGTTTCTAGAGTCCATCTCTTCAGGGCAGATAGTGCCTGGGTTTTATCTAGAGCAGAGGTTTCCAATTCTGCCCCCCTGGGTGACAGTGGCAGTGTCTGGAGACATTTTTGGTTGTCACAGCTGGGATGGGAGGGTCATATTTGATGCTGATGCCTAGTTAATAAGCCAAGGAAGCTACTAAACACCCCCCACCACAAGGAATTACCCAGTCTCAATGTCAGTAGTGTTCAGGTTGAAAAGACTTGAACTAAAATGGCTTTCTTCCTCTGAGTCTAAGCAGTCTTCAGCTTGGTGGTGTGGGACCTACAAGTCCATCTATGGCAAATACTTTCAGCTTTCTTTGGTCTTCCTTTACAAAAAAAAGTCACTTCTACTTACCCATCTCATGAAGGAGAGCACATGCTAAGGTTACTGGTTGGGGAAGGGCCAGCTCTACTTTATATTTAAAGTACTACTTATTTTAGCATTTTTTAAATCATATTTGTTCTATTACAGTTGTCTCAATTTTTCCCCCTTTGCCCTCCTCCACCCATTCCACCCTGCCCCCCGCACCCACAGTCAGTTCCCACTCTGTTGTCCATGTCCATGGGTCATTCATACATGTGTTCGTTTAGTCCCTTCTCCTTGCTTCCACCATTGTCCTCCTTCCCCATCCTCTCTGCTAATTTTCAGTCTGCTCCATGTTTCCTTGCCTGTGTTTATTTTGTTCGTTAGTTTATTTTGCTGAATAGATTCCACTTATAGATGAGATCATACGGTATTAGTCTTTCAACCACTGGCTTATTTCACCCAGCACAATATTCTCCCGTTACATCCATGTTATTGCAAAAGGTAGCTCATTCTTTCTTTTCTCTTTTTCAAAGCAGATTGATTTTATTTATTTTTTAAATGTCAAGATCCATTATAAAATATTAAAAAATTTAAATCTATTATAAAAAGTCTCAGCAATTAAAACATGATACCAGCACAGAAATAATCAAGTAGATCAATAAAATGAGCATTGTAGAAACATATTTATCTGTGTAACAATGTAATATATGATTAAATTGATATTTCAAATCAATGGGGAAAATAAGGCTTATTCAACAAATAAGGTGCATGGACCACTATTACTTGAAATAAAACAAATATAGAGCCCTGTTTCACACATGATACAAAAAATATTCAGGTGAGTTAAAAATCAATATGTAAAATCTAAGGAGTTTTAGGAGAAAATATAAAATAATATTTTTCTTACCCAGAAGTAACATATTCAAATCCAGAAGCTATAAAGTAAGATATTGACAATATAACCATATCAAGCATTTAAGACTATATAGGAATACTTTCTATATTTATAATATTTCTATAATATTTAAGACTATAGTAATATATGTATTAAAAAAGTTAAAGGACAAGTACTAGAATAGGGAAGTATTTGCAACACATCTAAAAAAGGGTTAATAGTGGGTTTTTTTTTTTTAGGGAAAAAATTCTACAAACATTTAATCAAAAAGTGGATAAAGAATACCAAAAAGTCATTTAAAGCTTTTTTAAAAAATAATAGAAATAAGCAAGAAATATACAAAAACAAGTTTAGTTTCAATAATAAAGTAACCATTAAAATTACATCATTGTCACAATCAGATTAAATATTAAAAATATTGGTAATATCAAGTATTGGTGACTGTGAAAGGAACTGGGTATTCATAGATTCATTTTCCTCATCTTAAAGCAGTTCCTTTAGCATATTTTGTAGTGCTGGTTTGGTGGAGGTGTATTCTTTTAGCCTTCTTTTGTCTGGG